GTTAGTGTATGATGGCTGTTAGGACAACTTGGAAATTTGTGAAGAGGCACCTATTTGTGAAGGTATATATAAGAGAAGGTGGCTCTTTTTATATTGGGTTGTCAAGTAAGGGATTTCTGGGGACATATTATTTGAAATGCATCATATATTTGGCAAAGGACCAAGCCATCTAAAGGAAGAAACTTCCAGGAAAAAGGAATAATTGAGAAACTTCAAGGTGGAATGAGCCTGACATGTTAGAAGGAAAGCAAAATCAATGTGTCGGGAATAATAGTCAGGAGCCTTAATGTATAGGATTTTGAAGACGCCATAGGATGCAGTTTAATTTTACTGCCAAACTGGCATATAAATTTAAAAAATCTATGAAGTCAAAGTTATTAAGCTTACTTCTGCATTAACTTTAATATTTGCTGTTATAATATCCCTAATGATATTTTAAAATTTATAAAATTCAGGCATAAATGTTGTATCATTTGATTTTCAAAACAGACCTCAAAATAATCTCTAATCTGTATCTACAGAAACTGAGCTTGAAGACCTAGTCTGAGATTAAGGAGTTACTGAAGTTTAAACCCAGGACAAAAACTCAGGGTGTTGGACTTCTTACATTCTTTCCACTATATAAAGCTGATCTTTGAGTTCCAAATCAAAATAAAAAGTCTATAAAAACTTGGATGTTTGTAACAGATTTAAGCTCAGGGGACTAGAATATAACATTCTATCAGTTTTACAAATACAGATATGCTTATAACATTGATTCAAAATCAGATGATCAATGTCTAGAAAATTCTCATATCCACAGATTGCATACCCAATACAAATTATGGATAAAAAACTATTATCAGGATAAAACATTGGAGGACTCTTTCTTTTGCACATATTGTAATTCAAAAAAGATGCCAGATTGCTTGGAACTTCAAGTATTGATGTTTTAATGAGTAGACTATTTTCTCTAGTGGAGCATATCCAATTAAATTTAGCATTCAGTCATTTGCTAAAGGAACAGTCTGCAGCTTCTAAATGATTCCACTTCTCCTTTGCTTTTTCCCTCCATTCCCAGATGCCAGTTTGATGACTTGTTTGTTTTTCTAAGAAGCACTGAATATCTCACTGGAATACATATTCATGGAAGAGAAGTCAAGGGTCTACCATATTTAGTAGCTCTCCAGGTTTTTTCTCAGATCCCCAGCCCCTCTTTATTTACGTTCCTCAGGTTTTAAAAACTCAAATTCCTCAGGGCTCAATCTGAACCTCTCTTCCTTCCATTCATTCCTTTGGTCATTAAGTCATCAGATGCTTATTGAGTACCTATGATGTGTCATACACTATGCTGCAAAACAGCAAAACACCAATGGTTAAAGCAAAGATCTCCATCTTCCTGTAATTTTACAATTTATTGTGAAAAATAAAATGTACATGAGTAGGGATGCCTGAGTGGCTCAGCTGGTTAAGCGTCTGACTCTTGATTTCAGCTCAGGTCATGATAATCACAGTTCATGAGTTTGAGCCTCATATTGGGCTCTGCACTGACAATGCAGAGCCTGCTGGGTATCTTCTCTCTCTCCCTCTCTCTCTGACTCTCCTCTGCTCTCTCTCTCTCTCTGTCTCTCAAAAATAAATAAATACACTTTTTAAAAAAGAATTAAAAGTACATGACTAAATGTGAAATGTAGTGGTTCTTTCTGTGAAGTAAAAATAGGGGATAAGATAAAAGTAGGAAGGAAGTAGTCACTTTGGATAGGGTGATTATAAATGGCATTTGTGAGCAGAAAACATTTGCAGAGGGGCATTAATGAATGGAAAGCAAGACACAGAAAGAAGCTGAGAAATAATATTCCAGGTAGAGAGAAAAGAACATAAAAATTGCTATGACACAGATGAGTTAAGCATGTTCCAGCAATGACAAGAAGGCCAGTGTTTCTGAGGAATAATAAACAAAGGAGAGAAGGATGGGGGGTGTGGTCAGGAAGGTAGGGAGGGCAAGATGATAATGGAGGTGAACAGGCTCCAGAGCAAGGTCTGAATAAATGTTGACTATCTTGACACACCACTAGACAGTTTTGAATGGGAGACTGATGTGTTCATATTTTCAATTTTAATTGATCACTCTGGTTACCAGATGTAGAATGTACTACAGACATATAAGAATAAGGCAGGAAGGCATGTCAGGAAGGAAGTCATCTCAGTAATCTAGGAGGGGAATCAGTGCCTCTTGGGCTAGGGTGTTTATTCTGAAGCTGGGAAACTTGCTCAATTTGAGACTGATTTTTAAATTAGAGCAAATTAAGAGGACTTGGTTTTGGATTGGGTAAAGTATCTGAGAGGGTGATAAAAGATAGTCGACTTGGTATTTTTGGCCTGAGATGCTGATGCTATTTATTGAAATGGGGCAAATGTGAAATAGTATGCAAGGGTTATAAAGGTAGGAGCAGGTCTTTGTGCAGAAACCAAGATACTTTCATTCTCTTTGAACTGGTTAAATGCCTGACAGGTATTTGATATGTACATGTAAATATGGGATAGATAATGGCTATATAAATTTGGTGCCCAGATTCACCACTGACTTCTACTTTGCCTCCTAGTAAGATTCTAGGCTCACTTCTTTTTTAATAAAACATTGGTCAGAGATTTGGGCCCTTATGTTTTGACATTCTAAGAGTGTGGTCCTTTAAAAATTTATGAGCTGATAACCATTTAAATCCTAGCCTCCTAAACTAGGGAAGAACAGGGAATAAATTCTAAATTTTGAAGCCCTAAAGTTGTAATCTGATGACATACATGGATGACCCATATAGTCTAGTCAAATGACTCCTTGATAAAATTGTCCTCTGTCATTTCCTCAGAAATCATAAACTATCTTAGAAATTAAGCAGAATTCACACCAACACTTTCACCTCTTAGTGATTCAAACATTCATGAGAATGCTTCTATAGCCTAGAGGATTTCTTATTCAAAATGTCATAGGTAACTATTAAAAATACAGTAAGGCTAAACTTGTTATTCATTCTTTTTCTCCTTCTTATTCAATTCTTATTTTTATGAACACTTATTACTCAGGAATAGAGGGTCTTTCAAGTATATTTACCGCAGCTAAGCTAGTGCCCTTTAAGTGTAAAAATGAAGAGAAAAATGGTATGAGTTGGAAGCTGTGGGCAAGCGAAGTAGGGGCAGACTGTCTCAGTAACTCCAGGTGGAACCAAAAAAAAAAAAAAAAAAAGATTTTGTAGATCAAAAGCACTTCCGGAATTTGATATGTTTTGAAAGCTTCCCACAAAGCAGTTTAATATAATCCATCAGTGGTATAATTACAGCAGAATCTACAGCACAATAAAATAAACCTATAAACCTTAATCCATTTCCATACAAATATCCTTACTAATGAAATCAGGAAAATGAATAAGAACTATGTACAATGGCAGGCTGTGCTGAAAAAAGGCTTCAGTTCCACACAAGTTCTCCATAGGTCTCTAAAATATTATGCCATTTATGCAATTACAATCAGCTACTATTCTTAGGGGTTAAAGGCCCCCAGCAAAATAAGTGGAGATACCGCTTCGGTAAAGATGCCTCAATCAATCTGGAAATGTTTCTGCTTGTTCAGGAGGATGACATACTCTAATCTGTATAGCAGACAATGGAGTTTCATTAAAAATCCTGATTTCACAACTCATTATGTGATTGTCACATGAATGCATCCTGTCCCAATCTTGATGGTATAGGCTTTGTATTTCTCCCGGGTAGCAGCCACTGTATTGCACTAGAAAAGGGAGCATAACCAGACTTTTATGCTCGTTCTGAGAGGAGTGATTAGGAATATTGTAAGAATTCAAATTTTCTGATCAAAGAGATAGTTCTTCCAGGAAGTAATAGCATCTAAAAGCAGAACCAACAGAGGTAGATGGATGCACAGAGGAATAAAAAGAAAAACCAACACAAATTTTAGGGACCAGATCTTGACTACATTGTATATCATAACATATATCACTTAAAAATCATCACATCACCCCTTGAAGGTGTGAGAGTTTGCATGTCCAGCTCCAGGGCCTAAACCCACTTAGGCTAGCTTGGTCAAGGCGAAAATATTTCCCTTCATATAGAAATCGATAGCCAATAAAAATACCCATTTATGCTTCTAACTTTAAATGGCTCCACATGGAAGGCATTTTGGTTCCTGGATAGATACATCTTTGGCAGCAGCCCAATTTCTGCTTATAAGCCCGAATGAATGGCGGGAGGAAATATGTGGCAGGCTTGCTTGACGAAAACTCACTTTCAGAGGGCAACCTCTGAATATAGCTGGGAAAATAAAGTCAAAAACACCCTGAATATTGAGGCAGCAGTTAAAAAAGGGAGAGCAAACAATCTTCTGTAAGCAGGAATGAACAAAGACAGTTTGGAGTGCCATAAAAAACGGATTCGACCAAGGCATTCAGACCAATGCTATATAGTTGTCCCCTTATCCATGGAGGATACCTTCCCAAACCCCCAATGATGCCTGAAACCAAGGGTAGTAACAAACCTCCATATATACTGTTTTTCCCACATATATACATACCTGGGATAATATTTACTTTAGAAGTTAGGAACAGGGATTAATGATAATAAAAGAGAGCAATTATAACAATACACAGCTGGCCCTTGAACAACACGGGTTTGAACTGCATGGGTCCATCTCGACATAACTGTTTTATAGGACTGTAAATGTATTTTTTCTTCCTTATTTTCTTAATGACACTTTTTCTCTAGCTTACTTTATTCTAAGAATACAGTATCTAATACACATAACACACAAAACAAGCGTTAATCAACTGTTTACATTATTGGTGAGGCTTCTGGTCAACGGTAGTTAGTAGTTAAATATGGGGGAATTTAAAAGTTATGGCAAGATTTCTGGCTATGCCGAGAGTCGGTGCCTGTAACCTCATGTTCAAGGGTCAACTGTACCATAAAAGGTATGTGAATGTGGTCTCTCTCAAAATATCTCATCGCACTGTACTCACTAGTCTTGTTCTGATGTCAGGAGATGATAAAACGCCCGTGTGAGACCAAAGGAGGTGAAAGATGCAGACATTGTGAGGTAGAGTCAGGCTGCTATTGACCTTCTGATGATTCGTCACAAGAAGGATCTCTGTCTTTTAGACCTCGGTTTACAGTCAGAACTAAAACTGCGGAAAGCGAAACTGCGGATAAGGGGAAACTACTGAGTTTTCCTCTAAATTCCACCTAAGATAAGACCCACCCAGCCGCTGGTAGTGATTATGTAGAGTGTTCCGACAATTAGAATGTAATTCTATGGGGCTCCTGGGTGGCTCAGTCGGTTAAGTATCCAATGCTTAATTTCTCAGGTCATGATCTCACAGGTCTGTGCGTTCAAGCCTCACATTAGGCTCTATGCTCACAGTGCAGAGCCGCTCTGACAGACTTTACAAGGTGGTCAAAACAGAGCCGGGATCTACTGGGAGATATAAACGTCCTGCCCAAATGGAGCCAAGAATATTTCTAATGTTATGCCTGAATTGCGAGTCCCCAGAGACCTCCAAGGAGCCGGCACTGATGCAAGTACAAAAGGGTCTTTATTACAAGCTCGAGCAGGGGCTCACCTGTCTACCGGCACAGCGGCAGCAAAGTGAAGCCCCGAACAGTGGCGAGCAGGGTTTTTATGAGGGAAGGGCGGGGGTGTTACCGTGCACACGTTGCACGTTTTTCATCATTACATAAGCACCAATCATAATTATACAATACCCATAGTAACAGCATAGTAACATTTTTTACCATTCAGTATCTGCGAGGCGTCCGGCGTCCGTTATGTTTGGCGGGACCCAATCATGACCTTTGAGAGTCTTTTAAAATGACCAACTATGAGGTGGGCTCAGAGAATCTACTTGGGGCTTATGCAAGCTGTGATTGACTGGCAAGTTTGTACAAAGTAACTACCTGCAGTTTCCAGCCCTGACTCGTCTCCAAGACTACATGAATGTTACACATTTCTTTTGATTGGCAGATCCAAGGGCTGTGTGGCTGCAGCTAAGGCTTTTCCTGGAACTGGGACTATGTGCAGCCTAAAGTTGTTTCTAATGGAGGACTTAATTTCAGGCTCCTCACTAACACTAGCCAAGGATATTGACATGTCCTTCTCTTCCTGGTAAGATTTTTGACCTGTGAGTTTCTTGATGGTATAGTCTCGTTCTTGGATTGTGAGAAATCTTGGCAGCGAGGACACCTTTATCTATAGAATACTTAAGGAGGTTACAAAACAAAACAAAACAAGGCATTCATTTCTCAAGACCATCTACTACTACTTTCAGAAAAACAAACTCTCATATCAAATACAAAATCTATAATATGTACAATTAGATGCTGTACACAGTAAGTATCTGGCTGCTATGTTGGGCATTTTGGAAAACCTTATGCTCAAATGTATGCCCTTAAAAATCAGCCTGGAAAATGTGAGATTCTTGAGAAAATGATGGTTTAGAACCTGGACATTCAGGATAAGGAAGAAGCAGGGAATGAATGACTCAAGCCCAGAAACTAAAGTTCAGAGGTAGAAGTGTACTTTTGCCACATGAAGATTGCTATATCCATTTTGATAACCTTTGTCATGCAGAACTGCCTAGATACCTAAAGGACTATTTGCTATGCAATGCCCATAATATCAAAGACATTCTGTCCCATCTTACTTATCTATATAGAACTGTATTTCCCCTTTAAAAAACTATTTAAGGATTAGCTTTTACCACTTTGATTTCCATGGGGGGGGGGGTAGGGAGGATATGCTTTGAGCTTGCTTTCTTTTTACAATACATAACTCTCAGATACTTATTTATGTTGTTGACTTCACCAAACTGAGTTGCTTATAAGCCTAACTTCTATCTTTGTTTGCTCAGCTTTAGCATTGTTCTTAGAAGGTAAAGGATTCTCAGGAAATTTATGTTCAATGAAGTTTTGAGTTGGGCCACCTCACACACAACAATCACTTTTAAAAATTCCATTTCTGATATTCACAAGGTTGCAAAGACCAAATTGCTTTGTTGATCAATGAATTAGGTTACATTCAGTGACTTTGTATCCAATAATCCTGACCATTCACAGTTGGAGAGCATGCTGCTATTTGTGATTCCATCTCTTCTCTAATTTATGTTCACTGGGTGATTGCCCTGTATGCCTAACCTTCATGTTAGTCCCTTCTCTCTTCCCTTTCTTCTGCAAAAGCCTCAGCAAGAAAGGGTGTTAAGGATGTCATTAAAAAAAGTATCACATTATATTCTCAAAGAATTTTTACTACTGTGACATAACAGAACCATTCTCTCTCCTTCATAAAAGGCTGATTTCTCTTAAGTATATTTTCAAAAATGTCAGTTCAGCTCCGAACTATTCATGTCAGAAATATGCTGTACAAAATAAATATGACAACAGTAATAATGATATTACTAATGATACAAATTTAAGCTCATGGAATTATTCAGTTCAAGTGCAACAACAGACAAAAAAATGAGCCCCCCCCCCAAAAAAAAAAAAACCCACAAGCTGCAGGGTCAGTCAGTAAGAAATACAGAAGAGAAGGTATGTTTTCAATTTGTCTAGGGCTCGAGGCTCAGATTTCCCTAGGAGCAAGTTTTGCTACTGAGTTAATCTACCACATAAATTGAGAATCTATAGAGGAGCTAAGTTTCTAGATTTCTACACAGAATCCTTCATTCAAAATGTGAAGTCATATGTTTCCTGGTGTCGTTGAGAGATCTTCTATGCTAGGAGAGTTCAGGAAATTTTTGTGATCATCCTCAAAATAAGGAGGTTGGCTAGATACCATCTAGTGTTTTCTAACGCTAACACACAGTTCTAAACTATGGCACACGATGTACTTAAGTGGAGAGAGTAAACAGTGTATTGAAATCAGAATCACCCTAAAATTTTAATTAACATAAGAGTGCCAACTGGAACACCTCTTACCGATATCAGTTAAACATATTGTTTTAATTTTTACATGGAAGTCTTTGTTGTTTCCCGTAAGTGCTGCATTTTCGTTTCTGGAAGAATAGATAATATTGCAAATAGGGACCAATGATCTCAGAAGGCTGCCATTAAAGACACTTAAAACAATTAGCCTGCACTTGAATTCCTTCACACAAGCTGCATTTATGGTTCCTGCATAGCAAGGTAGTAATAAGCAGATTGAAACGATTGGTGTCCTGGCAAACTCTGCCACTATATTCTTGCTAAGAGCAGAGCCATCACGAAGTGAGAATGTTAAATTTCTGCAAAGTATATCAGTTGCACTTACCAGTTCTGCTCACCAAACCCTCTTCCGTATGTGGGTATTAAATTGAATAATTCACCTTTTACTACTGATTAAGTAAAAAATGTTATTTGTTCCAAGTATGAGAATGATTTGAGTTGATTACTATATAAAGAATTTCTCTAGGACACACCTAAAGAACATTTGACATATTCTCACTATCAATACATGACTACATACACAGTCACACACTCACACATTTAAAAGATATTAATTAAGAACTGCTTATATGCCTGATAGAGTAATAACTTTTCAGATTTATCTGTAAGCATAATGCAATACTTTCATTCAAGGAACATATGAGAGATTAAGGCAAACTTAACTGATACTGTTCATTAAGGACACATTGTGTGTATGTGTGTGCATGCATGGGTGAACTCATATTCATGTGTGCACGTGTGTCTTCTAAGGGTGCCTTACTCTTGTGTAATAACATAGTGGATGGTCTTGCAGTCATGTGACCTGAGTTTGATCAAGCCCATAACTCCATCTTTAATAACAAGCATCCTTTGCATAATTAGTCAGCTTTGGAACCTAATATTACCCATGGAATATAAGGATGGTTAACCAGTATCGTTTTCCATGTGAACATTCCTTTATATAACGTGACACTTCATAAATTATATTTATAATTGGAACAAACCATCTTTAACATCACCAGTGTGTATGCATTTTCTCTTTTCTCATCTTTTCTCTGTGAAACTTCCTGCACAGCCTTTAAAAATCTCTCACATATCAGCACTAATATGCTGTCTATTCACAACTTTAATTGTTTGCTCTGGTACAAATGACATTCTTCTTACTGGCAACCAGGGCCACTAAAAACAATTTCCCATGCCCTATTCCAAAGCGTTGTTTACCCATGTAGGGAGCTTTATAAAAATTGTCCCCAAATTGAATAAAATATGAACAATGACAGTTAGAATGCCTACTGCCCATTTCTTACTACATAATGGGCATATTGTGAGATATACCAGAATCTAACTCGAACAATAAAAGGGCTAAAACTTAGAGTGCTCAGCAGTTTACAATCTTTTTAAAGACCCAAGAGCAGACAACTTTTGATGAGGGCAACTTAAGATCTGTTTAAAATCAATAATGTCTGTAACTTTACTCTTCGAATATGATGTTAGAAAATGTAGAACAATTGCTAAAAGTTACATCAATTACACATGAATATAGAGTAGGTGATGAACTGAATCTATCCTGTACCCCCACCCCCCAGTCTCTGAAACAACTCACTTGAGCATGAAAGTCAATTTACATTTTTTTTTCAATTCAAGAAATAGAATTTTCATTTTGTGTCATATTCATAAAAAAACTCATATATAACTCAGCAGGGTACTCACATGTGCTTAGAAACAATATTAGGTATGGGAATTACCTTTTGTACCATAAAGACAAAATTACTCACTGAGAAATAAGATTTTAAAGGATCTTCGGGAAGCAAAGGAAGAAAAAAAAAGATACAGGATTTCATCTGAGACTGGAGCTGTTGTATTGCTCATCTGCAGGCTAGCCTCATCCCTCCTGTTTCAATATTACATCTCTACTTAGATTCCCTCCTCTCCCAGGAGCATGAAAGACTGTTAGATTTTAATGAAGACGTGTTGCCGAGGGAGCCATGGGGCTAGAAATAGGAGTTCGAATCCTACAAACTGTTTCTTAGGAACAAAAGCACAGAAGATTCCATATAAAGGGATTATAGATACAGGTGCAGTTACAGCAAAGTACATTTACTTAATATGATACCATTAAGCATTTTCTATGTTATTAGAAAATCTTCAAAATTATCATTCTAATGATTGCATTGCATTTTAGAAAGCAGATACACCATAGACTACTTAACTAATTCCCAGTTGGAGACATTCATGTCTTCTCCCCAATTTCCTACTGTAGTAAAACATGTTACAATAAACTTCTTTGTCCTTTAGTGTTTCCCCTTTCCTCACACACTTTATGCAGTCAGAATATTTTTCTTGGTTTATATTCACAGAAGCGTATTTATTAGGTCAATATTTATAAATATTTTAAAGCTCTTCTCATATTGCCAACTTCCTTACCAAATGATTTATAAAACTGTAACTTTATAAAAAAGTGATTATTTCACAATATCTTTGCAAGCACTGGCTATCATTGTTTTAACCTTAAGTTAACTAAATTGTAAACAACATGACTATTGGGCATGGGCAGTGATATGGTGGAAATGGACCCAAAGTCTGAATATTTCAGTGATTCATTCACTTCTACAGAAATGTTGGTAAAAGTTGGTCAGAACAGAAAAAAATCTTTGAAGAGCCTTAAGCAAATTTCTAGTTCTTTTTTTCCCGAGGTATCTTTGCGTATAATTGACAAATAAATTGTAATATATTTAAAATGTACAATGTGATAATTTGATATCTTTATATATTGTGAAATGACTCTCATAATTTTTCATTACAGCTTAAGAGAGAGGCATATGCTGGGGCCCAATGTCAAAGAAAACATTTGATCATTTGTATTTGCCTTTGCCCTTTAAAAAGGAGTTTTTATTATTGAAGTATTATTGACATTCAATGTTATATTAGTTTCAGGTGTACAACGTAGTGATTTGACAATTCTATAAACATTATGCAATGCTCACCATGATATGTGTCGTTACCATCTGTCACCATATGTTATTATGATATTATTGACCATATTCCCTATGTTGTACTTTTCATCCCCATGACTTATTTATTTTATAACTGGAAGACTGTACCTCTTAGTCCCCTTCATCTACTTTGCTCATCCCTCATAACCCTCCCCTCTGGCAACCACCAGTTTGTTCTCTATATTTATGAGTCAGTTTCTGGTTTTTGTTTTATTTTTTCATTCATTTGTTTTGTTTCTTGAATTCCACCTGTAAGTGAAATCTTATGTTATTTGTCTTTCTCTATGTGATTTCACTTAGCATAATACCCATGGGCCCATCCATGTTGCTGCAAATGGCAAAAGCCCATTCTTATTTATGGCTGAATAATAGTCCATGATATATGGAAATATATATATATATATATATATATTTCACATCTTCTTTATTCATCTATCAATGGACATTTTGGTTCCATATCTTAGCTATTGGAAATAAAAAAAAAGGAAATAATGCTGCAATAAACATGGGGGTGCACATATCTGTTTTCTTTGTGTAAATACCCAGCAGTGGAATGTTTTCTAATCCAACGAAGTATTATCAAAGAATGTTAGGAACTGTATATAATCCAAAAAGCATTTGTAAGAGATGGACTGAAATATATGCATACTTGTTTCAAAAAGAAACCTGAAGGGGCGCCTGGGTGGCTCAGTTGGTGGAGTGTCTGACTTTGGCACAGGTCGTAATCTCACAGTTCATGAGTTTGAGCCCCGCCTTGGGCTCGAGAGCCTGGAGCCTGCTAAAGATTCTGTGTCTCCCTCTTTCTTTCTGCCCCCTCCCTCACTCATACTCTGTCTGTCTCTCAAAGAAAAATAAAAATTAAAAAAAAAAGAAACTTGGAAATCAGCTATCTGTAGAAGTGCCATATGCTTATGCAGCATTATATTTCATATATACCTAAATGTTTACCAGATAGAGCCATGAGTGTGTCAATGAATGACAATGAAATATCTGCTTAAATGTCAGTATTATATATATATATATATGTCAGCATGGTTTGGTATATTTAATGTAAGCTTTGACATTAGACATATCTAAATTAAAAATATGGTTCTATTCTATATTAGCTCTGATACTGATTAAGTTATTTACCCTTTCTAAAACTGTGTGTGAAAATTGCTAGCATATAGTAGGTGCCTAATAAATGGAGATAAAGCATGAGCAATGAACTAGATAATCCAACTAACATATCTTATAGTTAGTTACTGAGTGACAGTTGCACTCCAGGTCAAAGAATTACACTACTGCTGCAGGACAGCTGCAGTTAATGGATTTAGATTCAGCACAGTGGTAACAATGTATCTCTGAACATAGTTGTCATAAATGTAGACAAATGCAAATATTAAGGACCCTGGAATATATATGTGATTGGAGACTAAGAAAATAATAAGTAATATAATTAGCAACGCTTCCAAATAGGGTTCCATAGCTGTCATGTCACATATTTCTGGGGACTACTTCAACGACTAACAATGGGATCATTGCACATTCTTTGGACAAACTGGCAGGTGAGTCTGACAAATATAATTACATTGGGAAAGTAAGATCTCAATTCCCAAGGAAGGTAATTCAGAGAGTTTGATGCCTGGAGAAGAAAAACTGATTCAGCCAAAGGGGGCAATGAGGAAATGGATTAGCACAGCAAAGTTGTCATTCATTCATATATCATATCATTTGCAAAGTCTAGGGGTCAGCTGGGATTGATTGGACCCAGAAATCTGTTGAGCTGTAGTATGTGAGTCTGCCATGTCTCTCATACAAACTTCTTCCTTGCTAGAAGAAAAATAGTAATCATGAACATCAAGGCATCATTTTCTTGTATTATAGAGATAACAAACAAGGATATAGAGATAGAAAAGTAGTCTTTCTCTTTTAGTCTAAAAACACTACCTAATATTAAACAGTATAGTTAGGAGGAACTGAGAATGAACCACTCAAGTTCACTCATCTGATGGCTCCAGCTAGAGGTTACAGGGCCTTCATTCATCCATCCATTCATTCATTCAACTTTAAAGGAAGGGCCGCTATGTACCAGGTGTTAGTAGCTCCAAAAATGATACATGACCCTCGAAGAATCTCATGATCTGGTAAGGGAGATAAATAAGTAAAAAGGAAGCCTAATAGAGTGAAATAAATGTTATGATGGATGGTTTTAAAAAAGGTCAGTGGAAGTAGAATGGTAACCTTCAAAGGACTTCCATTTTATGTGCAACTAAAGATTTTAACCAATATTTTCTCAGTGCTTATTATCTGAAAGGAAAGTTGAGGTTTTGTTTTGTTTTTGTTTTTGTTAGGGAGAAAAACCATCCCCACATTCAAGAATGCTCTCGACATGAAGGAGAGACAAAGTCATCCATTAATTATTAAAACATTTTTTCATATTATCTCTCACAGATATGTGTATACCAAGTACTCACAGAAGAGAATTCCTTCTACTTTTCTTCATCAGACATTGTGAGGAATTGTGCCATAACTCTGGCATCTCTCTGCTGAACTTGGTTCCATTTGCCAATGATGTTGTTCAAACATGGTGTCCAGAACTGAATGTTGTATTCTGCAGGAGACCTTGAGGTCACCATAGGCAAAGGAGATGTGAAAGAAGAGACATAATTAATGCCAGCAGAAGAGAGAGATGATGACCCAGCATAAGCTGATTGAGACTAGGTTGTACGGTCGTTTTCCTTATGGATTCCATGCTTGGGAGTGAAGAGTAAAGGAGAGCCTTCCTCTAACACTCAAATGGCTTCAGGGAACATTTTTCCAGTGCAATTAATTTAATGTGTTTTTAAGATAAGTACAAGCAGGGCTCTGTTGTCTTTGCCTCTCTTATAGGAATTAAATTCACGATATGAAACTTCACCTGTCTATTTTTTTTTTTCCTTTCTGTATAACCTCACTGCACTGCACAGGCTCGGCAGGACACATCCCATTGGTGCTATCCCACTAACCTCTCATTACCTGTTGGATGCTCTGCCTCTCCTGCTCCTGCATGACTCACATCTTATCCTCACTGGCACTATTTCTAAAAGTTTCCCTCAAATCTCTAGCCTGGAAAGTGTTGCTGATGTCCCGAGGCTTTTGCAAGGATTGTTTCTCGATTTAAATAAAACATTATTGTATTCCTGTCTACAGGTACTCCTGGGCCTATGCATATGATAGTATTCTGATACTTTACTTAGGAAAAGAAAAAGAATCCTGCAGCTTTCTTTGCTGCCTTGGTTGAGACTGTGTTTCACTGGTTCAACAGGAGTCAATTGACTTCCATAGTGCGCACAGCTATATGGTCCCTCATGCTTTTGTCTTTCCTATGATCGGCGAGATTAGAAAAACCACAGGTCTCCAATGCTAGTTAGACATGGAAAATTCCATTCTGTTAGCTTTTTCTAGGCATTTCTTGGCTATATAAGTATCGCTTGCTTACCTGCAGAGGATGGCAATGCTACAGGCATGGTCATGGGCTGGCCTCCGAGTGGTCCTTTGAACATTAAGGTCAATAAGGTTAGATTTGGGCTTGGTAAAATTGGCTCCAGGTCAAACAGTGGCAGAAAAAAAAAATGATATTATCTGTGGCCGAAGTTTTACTTGTGCACTGTAAATAAGTAGAGGTGAGACTCTACTTTTAAGCAATCGGTATCCTCCCTGGAAAATTTATCACATACACCCTGACTGAGAACCATAGAGCAACATCGACTCATTGATCTAATTCTTTCTCCACATAAAGAATTTTCTAACAAGTAGAAATCTACCTCAAGAGGGTCTGAATCCCTAGTCATTGAAGGTACTGAAGAGGGCATGTCATAAAAATTCAAAGTTCAGATGGTCATGGCAGTCATTAGATGATCTTGGTATACTTGGTCCTGATATTTTACCATTCTGTATCTCTGAGCAAGCTCAGGCCATGATGAGCTATATTCCAGCACCTAAATGAGATCTTTTTTTTCCAAGACCCACATCTAGCTGCAGATACTACTATTACCAACAGTCCAGCTAGCAATCCTCCAAAAGTAGGCCCTGATAGCAGATGTGAGTACAAGTAGTTGGTTGGTGAAGGGAACACTGACAGGAAATGAGGAAGTGACCCAGGGAGGGAAGTCAGTCAAAAGAGAATATGTCACCACACCTACCAAATGTGAGCAATTGGAGTCTTTATCGCAGAAGGGAAAGTCTGGGTAACAGTGGAAAACCCAGGCTTTAGATATTCTATATAGGTAAGGGAACAAGTATTTATATACCATCAGCTACAGGCCACTGGTTTAGGGTGGCTGGGGCATAATGTTCTTCCTCTGGCATTTCTAGACTGCTGTTGACTGAAGCAAGGTGGCTCTCCATGTTTGCTGAAAGAAGGTCAAGCACTGATAAGTAGATAGTGGCAAATGGGAGATGTACACAGTGAAGTCCGAGGACTATGAGCTAGATACCAGAAGGTCCTCCACATGCACTGGACCACATATTTTCTAAGTCTCACATGCTAACTTCCAGAATGTGCCTCATTTACCCAAATAGGATCAACTCTTTTTTTTTTTTTAATGTTTTATTTATTTCTGAGAGAGAGAGAGAGCACATGAGCAAGCATGAACAGGGGAGGGTCAGAGAGAGAGGGAGACACAGAATCTGAAACAGGCTCCAGGCTCTGAGGGGCTGTCAGCACAGAGCCCAACTTGGGGCTCAAACGAATGAACCGTGACCATGACCTGAGCCGAAGTTGGATGCTTAACTACTGAGCCACCCAGACGCCCCAAATAGGAGCAACTCTTAACCTAACTCTCCTAGAATTATGGTTTTCCTGATTGTGGCCACTCTGTGTTCTGGGCTTAGCAAGCTGTACCTAGAGTTTTGTGACAAAACAGGTACCAGGAATTTGTATATTGAGGAAGGAGTCAGTATATAAGCAATTACGGCCTTCAAAAAGTATCTTGTCATTAATACTGTATTTTAAGAATAGTCCATGTTATTTTTTTTCTAAAACAATATGTTAAATTTGAGATGAAAATAAATATATTTCTAAACCTTGTGTTCCCAAAGTCCACGAAAGTAACAATACTTTGGTATCTCTTCCTTCTGTCTTTCTCTCTGTCTCTCTGTCTGTCTCTCTCTCCCATCCCTCCCCTCTTCCCCCCCACATTAATTGAATTTACCTGAGAAAACATGAATTTAAATGAGTTCAATGAAATCAAGTTTAGTTATGCATAAAGAATCAAAATATATCTAAGCCCAAGAAAGACACTCAAACTACAAGCAGTAGAATCTTTCTGTTGAGATCAAAATATGACTATAGAATTTTGATTCAAAGGAACCAGATGGTTAATTTCCCATTTAAAAAAATGAGTACTTTTGAATGCCTGGTACATATGTTAATATGTAGTGATTGCCAAGATCACCCCCAGGAGAAAAATGCCAAGTGAAAATAGTATGTACATTTTCCCATTTGTGTAAGGAAATATAAACATGGACTTATATACTCACAACTGATTTCATACGGGGTGGTATTTCTAGAAACATGGAATTTTTTTATTTTACTTTTATTTTGAAACTCAGAGGAAAATCACAAAATAGTACAAATGAGTTTTTCCTGAATTATTTGAGAGTAAATTGCCCCAAACCGTTGAATAATTAAAGTTATTTTCTGGGACCCCTGGGTAGCTCAGTCCATTAGGTGTCAGACTCTTGATTTCATCTCAGGTCATAGTTTCACAGTTTGTGAAATCGAGTGTCAGGCTCTGCCCTGACAGTCTGCTTGGGATTCTCTCCCTCTCTCTCTCTCCCTGCCCCTCCCCTTCTCAAAATAAATAAATAAACATAAAAAAATAATTTTCTAACAACAAGGACATTCTCCTACATAACATAATAGAACTATAACAATAAGGATATTAACTTTGCTATATTATTACCAATCTTCAGACACACTTCTGATTTCACCAATGTCCTCTGCAGTTCTGCCAGTTATCCCAACAAATATCCTTTAAACAAAAATGTCCAATCCAGAGTCTTACATTGCATTTAGTTGTCATTCTCTATTAATTTCCATTGATCTAGAATGTTCCTCAGTCTTCTCTTGACTTCCATAACCACATTTCTTATAGGCCAGTAACAGAGGAGACTTTCCCTCAGTTTAGGTTTGTCTAACATTCCCTCATTACTGGATTGAGGTGATGCATCTTTGGCAACTAGACCATAGAAGTAATGCTGTGTTTTCACTGCATCCTCTCAGATGGCACTGAATTTCAATGTATTCTATTACTGGTAATATTAATTTTGATCATTTGATTAAAGGGGTGTTTTCAGACTTCTCCACTATAAAGTTATTTCCCATTGTAAATAATAAGTATTTTGGGGAGAGATATTATGAGATTATGCAAATCTCATTCCTCATTAAACTTTCAATTAATTTATTCATATATTTATATCACTAAGGTCTTAGGGATTCTTCTTATTCCATGAGTTTTAATCGATTACTTTCATTATTTAATGTGATGCTAAAATCCAATCAGATTTTGCCAGAGGGAGCCCCTTTAAGCTGGTGTCTGTTTATTTTTATATGACCTCATCATTTTTTTATTTTTTGGCCTTTTCTCCTGCTTCAGGCTTGGAATCAGCCATTTCTCTAAGGTGCCTTGATTCCATTTAGCAGAGAGTTATATTTAGAAACCATGAGGTCGGGGGAGGGGCACCTGGCTTAGTCAGTTAAGCATCTGACTTCGGCTCAGGTCATGATCTCATGGTTCATGAGTTCAAGTCTCGCATCAGGCTTTGTACTGACAGCTCAGAGCCTGGAGCTTACTTTGGATTCTGCATCTCCCTCTCTCTCTCTCTGCCCCTCCCCAGCTTGTGTTCTCTCTCTCATAAGTGAAGACACAGAAGAAGAAGAAGAAGAAGAAGAAGAAGAAGAAGAAGAAGAAGAAACCATGATGTGCACTAGGTATGGTCTTTGCTATTGAGTCCCATAGCTCATAGGCTCTTTCAGAGGACAGGGCTAGAAATACATGTATTTACACATACACATATACACAAGTCTCACATTTATATTTATATCCAATCTTTATCTCTATTATTTTTTTTTTAATTTTTTATGTTTTTTACTTATTTCTGAGAGAGAGAGAGGAGGAGAGAGAGAGAGAGAGAGAGACAGCATGAACAGGGGAGGGTCAGAAAGAGGGAGATACAGAATCTGAAACAGGCTCCAGGCTCTGAGCCAGCTGTCAGCACAGAGCCCGAGATGCAGGGCTTGAACCCACAAACCGTGAGATCATGACCTGAGCAGAAGTCGGACGCTCAACCTACTGAGCCACCCAGGAGCCCCATCTCTATCTTTTAAAAAATATAAGTTCATATCAATAACTTCCAATTCAATACAGGGTTTATCAGTTTTTTTTTTCTTTTCGGCATTTAAAACACCCTTCTCTGACAGTGAGAAACCAGACTTCTATTATAATTAACATTTGGCATCATAATCTGTACTCAAGTAACCAATCTCTCTTCTGGCTAACCCATGTGTATGGTGGAGACCTTGCTCATTACATTTCTGCTTTGGCTCTCACTATGTACATGCCCTACTACCCTGCCTCTTGGACTCCTTTACTCAAATCAAGTAGCCTCTTTACCCCTGGCAAAGACTGATTCTTCATTTTGCTGTGGCTGATGAATGCACTGGACCATTGGAGAACCTCTTACCCTGTCAGGATGTCTGTCTTGTTTGGCCCCACCTAATGATTTTAGACAGTCATTCAAAGAGGGTGGGGGAAGGAAGAAGAAGAAGAAGGAAGAAGGAAGAAGAAGAAGAGCTAAAGAACTCAAGTGAAGTTTCTGCTAGAAAGGAAAATTAAATATTCAAAGATGAGAGAGTGCTTTAATTTTTTAGTGTATACTCTTTCTAATGATTTGATAGCTTAACATAAATGATATATTACTTTTCCAATTTAAAAGTTATGTGAAAAGAGTTTAATGGATAAATAAGTATAATCCAAACATTTTAACTGATAAACAGTAATCATTTATTATGAACACATAGTTATGAATTATGTTCTTACATGCTTGCTTTTAAGCCACTATGAATGTTTTAGTTCATAGGAAGGAAGGAAGGGGGGAAGAGAGAAAGAAAAGAAAGAAGAAAGAAAGAAAGAAAGAAAGAAAGAAAGAAAGAAAGAAAGAAAGAAAGAAAGAAAGAAAGAAAGAAAGAAAAAGAAGAAGAAAGAAAGAAAGAAAGAAAGAAAGAAAGAAAGAAAGAAAGGACGAACCTGAAAATGGTACCTCTAGGAAGTTAATAGTGATAATATCATGTCTCCTAAATAAGTCACCCTTGAGATTGATTCAAAGCCTATGTAAGTTATAAAGGCTTATGCAGAAGGAGGTATTGTTTTTATTCAGTAAGGGACACTAAACTGTCTAGCTCACATGCTCCTGACCACAGTGGTGCAAAGTAGGTAGAAGTGATTCAGTTCTCAGGTTTTCATGTTAATTGAGCTCCAGAATCCAAACAAAGGTCATTAGAATGACACCCCTCACAGCTCTTTAGAGTCTAAGTGATCTAAACTTGCAATGTTTTAAACCACAGCAAGCTACCCTGACTCTCCTTATGATATTACTATTCTGTAAGAAATTAAAACTTCTCCACAGATAAGAAACTGCCAATACCAAAAAATAAAGTACCTAAGAGATATCTACCATGGAAGAAAAAAAATTTATAAATATTCATATTTTATAGAGCAATCAAGATGTTGATGTTAATATTAGAGCAATAACTTTAATTGTATTTCAGCAAACGGATGCCAATTAGGAAACAAATTATCTCATAGAAGCATGTCTTCCACACAGTTTTGCCCTGAAGGTAAGCCGAAGGCTATGCTAGCTTCCTGAATTTTAATGCACAATTGACACCTCCAAAATTATTAAAATTAGAAATAAGCATTCAAAGGCTTTAAATTATGCCAAAAAATAAATGACAGCTGCCTGCTTACTGGTAAAGGCAGAATATTTTCTCCCATAGATGGAACAAGAAAATCCCTTCTAGGAAAAATTAAAAGAGAGCCATTTAGGCTGCGATCCGCACGTCATCTCTGATCAACAACTTAAAATTATAAATTGCCACACAAACCTCATTTGAACTTTCTAAACTCTTTAAAATTCCACATTGCTGAAAATACCAAGGTCACTTCAGATTTCTCTTTGCCTATCCAGAAAAAATCCAGTGTGATGATCCAACAGGATAAGAGATATGTATCAAAAAACACATGTGTTCAAAGGGATCCAGGAGAGTCTAGGAAATTGCTGATTTTTCAAGGTGTTCATAAACTCTAATGCATCTAATACTGGTATAACATCTCTCAGAAGTTAAGGCTTATAGACTAGAGCAGGATCTGTCCTCTGAAAGCATGCTGTAGAATTTGCCTGCATCAGAGAGACTTTGAGCATCCCAGGAGCCGGCCTTCCATATGAGCTGCCAGTTTACTGCCATGACAAGCTGTGCACATTCTTGATATACCATGTGGCAGTGTGAGTGTTTGGCCATCATGGTCTCCTTTACTAGGATGGAGGCATCTCACGAGAATGCCTTATTTTCACAAATGTATCTGTTTTTAACAGAACCTGGATTAGTACTCAGTAGAGTGTAACTCAGATGTCAGCCAAGATCTCCCTGGCTCCTCAATTTTTACTGAAGTTTATCTGAAACACCCCTATTCATAACATGGCAAAGTCTGAACCCTCCCCTACATTTAAGAAAGGTCCTATGAACTTATTTTTCCAAAGACCCTTTTGTTTCTGAATTCACACCTCTGAACATGTGTGTTTAGACATGACCCAAGACACTGGTTTCAACACACACAATTCACTTACACATTTTTCCATGAATAGAGTAGACTTTATTGGGGTAACATTATGCTTTGCCTGCCCAGTTGAATTAAAATCTCACCTTAGACATTCTTGTCTTAAAAGAACCTTGCCAAAATCCCCATCGCCGACTGCACTTGCATCCTCCCCTGGTCCCTCTCCTTTTCTCCCTCTTTCACATTGTCCCCTTTACCCCCAAAAGTCACACTCAAGAACAACAAATTTATCTCTCTTTTGCATTTATCAGTCTCAATTTTTATAATAAGCTTACCCTGACTATCAACCTTGACCATAGTTATCAAGGTATTTCACTTTACCAAAGACTATTACAAAAAAAAAAAAAATCTCACCTATCAAAAGAGTTGAGAGACATATATAAAGACTAGTCTATAACAAGGTGGTAGTAAGAGTTCAATACATTAGAAAAATAAAGAGCTTGGGGCACCTGGGTGGCTCAGTCAGTTAAGCGTCTGACTTCTGATTTCGGCTTAGGTCATGATCTTATGTTTTGCGAGCTCAAGCCCCACATCAGGGTTAGCACTGACAGTATGGTTCTGCTTGGGATTCTCTCCCTCTCTCTCTGCCCACCCTACCACCTGCTCTCTCTTTCTCTGTCACTCCAAATAAATAAATAAGCTTTTAAAAAAGATTTTTAAAAAAGAAGAAAGAGCTGAAATAACATATTGAGTGTATGGTTTACAGAGCTGGACAAAGGGTAGGGTCTGTTTATCCAGCTCAAATATACAGAATAATGCAATTATTGTTTATACCATGCCCACACTAATCTGCATTGGAAATTAGAAGTCACAGACTCATCCCTAGCCTGGGATTCATTTATCTCAGAATTAGGACTTCCACACCCTATGAGGCAGAGCAAGCTACTGCTTGAAACCATTAAGCAAAGACTATGCTGGGGAAAAAAAAAAAAAAAAAAGACTATGCTGGAAATAGCATATCAAGGAGGATTGCTCAGGCTAAAACTATGAAAGCAAAAGCTGGAGATTTATTTCATGTACATCTCTCTCTTCCTTTCCCTTAGATAGCCAATCTGTTTATTTCTGGGTACTCAAACAAGAGATTTTGTTACTAATTAATTAATCTAGAGAGAAAAATTTCTATAGGCTCTTGAATGGCTTTCAAAACAACATTCTAGTGATGGTTGAACAATCTTTACAAAACTGTGAGTTTTAATTTTGACATGAAGTGGTGGTTCAACCACTAATATCTTTGGAACATTTGCTGAAGACTTGAGGTTATTTGGAAGTTCAAGTGCAGGCTATGACAGACTTCCATCTCAATGGCATTTCCAGCCTGATTTTTCAGAGAAGGGTTTTTGTTGACCCTACAGTCAGTTTTGAATGCACCTGTTTTGTAAGAGCATCTGCATTTCAATGCATGGTTGCAACCAACTCCTCCAGGAGGCCTTTCTAACTGCTGAAGAAAGGCAATCCAACTTGCCATGGATGGCCCCGGTGCTTCTAGGTTCTTCTATTCCAAAGTCTGCCATGATTGCACACATACTGATCAGGGCAGCAATTCCAGGAGCTGCTCAAGTACTATTATTATAAGGAATGAGCCAATGAGATGTAACCTCATACCTTTCCTGCTATTTTTCTGAAACTGTGGCCTGTCTGCAACTCACCTGGATTTTATGTTCTTGAAGGTGCACGAAGATGGTCACTGGCTTTATGCCTGTGCCACCTAAAAAATATTTGAAAGCTTTAAAATTAGATCTATGATTCCAAGTCTAAGAAGTTGTTTTCCTAAAGATAGCCAATTGCCAACTACTTTCTCACACAGGCTCCTTCTGAAGCATAAAATTGAAAGTACCAAGAGTCTTGGTACTTGAATTTAGCTAATTGTGGGTGCAGTCAGCCAACTGAGGATACAATTAGACATTGCAATTAGCCTTGGTGGCCCAAATTATTGGAGAAAGGCAAAACAGGAGGGGTAGTGACAGCTCTTTAAAGATGCAGGTCTGTGGATGAAATCACTGATGAAAGTCATTCAAATTAATATATTTGTGAAGCCTAAGAGAAAATGGGAAAATAGCATAAGCTAAAAGTTATTTGTAGAACAGTCAGAGAATAACAGTATTACTTTACTTGCATATATGTATATATTTTTATAGTTTACAAATTTGCTCTCAAAGCCATTGTACCATAGGCTTATTTTACCTAAAAGATGTCCACTTCAACTACCTAATGGAAATCACAATGTACAATTTTGGAAGCAAAGATAGAAAAAAAGTCTCTCCCACTAGTAGATACTATAGATACTGTCTAACTGAGATCAAATGTTCCCTCTCCTGTTAAAATTCCACAGTTTGATAAGGCAAAAAGGGAGAAAAAACTATCTACTTACCATCTCCTATGTTCCAGGACATGAAATGAACATGTGACAAGTGATATTACATGTAATCCACATGGGAGATGCTGTTTCTACCTTTACAGATGAAGAAACTGAGCCTCAGTGGACTTAATGGTGAGACAAAGCTCAATAACACTAATGAAGTCTATCTGACCTCAAAGGCTCTTTCTTCAAAATTATGATCATCCAAATGTGTGGCTTATTTTCTCTAAGACTTAAATACCACCAAATCTAACTCTGGCAAACATAGCTTAAATCCAGGAAAACATCAGTTGCCTAAGAAAGGTTGATCTAAAACATTTAGAAAAGGATCCCTTTCCTTTTTTTTTTTTTAAGTTTACTTATTTATTTTGAGAGAGACAGAGCAAGTAGGGGAAGGGCACAGAGAGAGGGAGAGGGAGTGAATCCCAAGTAGCCTCCTCACTGGCAGTGCAGAGCCTGACATGGGGCTTGGACTCACAAAAACATAAGATCATGACCTAAGCCAAAACCAAGAGTCAGACAGTCAACCAACCAAGCTACCCAGGTGCCACAAAGGATCCCTTTCCTTGCTGGGAGACCACATTGATCATGAATAACACCTCAATAGCTGCCATTCTATTCTATACATTCTCATAATTTTATATATATTTCACATGGTTATGGGTTCTCAAAATATTGGGGGTGAGAGGGACTGCCCCAATGATTAGCCAGTGAGTTCCTCTATAGAATTTTGAATTATGCCTTTGTTTCAGCATTTAATTAAATTCTGTTTTAGAAATTCACCAAAATGGTTAAAAGAGGGGGAAAGATAAATGGTCATACAGAATTCAATGCTTTTTAATTACAGGAATCCATTCACTTTGTAATATCAGTGTAACAACTCCTTAATGAAATTGAATTATTTCTTTTAAAATTGACTTAATTAATGATTCAATTTATATTAGATTGATTTTATAATCTAATTTTAACTATAATAGTAAAGTTTAGAGTTTCTTAAAAAAGATAATTTTAAGAACTATTAAAATCTGAACTTCTTTGAAGTAGAAGTTTATCTGGGGGAAAAAAAAAGATGAGTTTAGTTAAGACACTCAAAATTTTACTACTCTATTTTGTTTAAGGAAAAAATGCAATAATTTTATATTATAATTAATTTTAGGGTTTTAAAAATCCAATTATTCCCTGAATAAGCTATTAAACGTTATTTCCTTATGTAAGAAGTGAACTGAATGGCATAGAAAAGAATGGCTCCACAGTATTTAACAGGCTTTTAGTCTGTTAATGAATCCCAGCACTCACAACCTGCCAGGCTCTTGGAACTGTTCACATTAGATTTGCCTCCCCTTCTACCTAAGTCTAGGTCTAGACTGTAAATCTGATCCTTTGTGTTTAAAAGCTTGTTCATAATAATAGTTCACTAAATGGTTATAGAGAAGACGAGGGGTGTTTATTCTCTCATTATTTCTCATAGACTCTCCCTAAGGAAGCATATATTGGCTAGTTCCTGGCAGTCAGTCTTCCAGAAACTTCCAGGCTTGGGATACACCTGAAAGTCTCTCAAGAGCTGGAAAAATAGTGGCAAAACCCCCCTTTAAAGGCCCTCACCTTTCACAAAGACTCTCATGTAGGAAAAGAAGGTCTGTATTTACTTTATCACAAATATGCAGAAATCAGAACAATTGTATAATGTTGACTTATTTACCACTTACTCATTAAGCATCCCTCTTATCAGCTTACTATTGCTGCCATATGAAATAACTACAAATTTAGTGGTTTAAAGCAACACAGATTTATTCTCCTACAGTTCTGGAGTACAGATGTGTAAAATGGGTTGGCAGGGTTCATTTGTTCTGGAAGCTTTATGGAAGAAATGGTTTCCTTATCTTTTCTTGATTCTGGAGGTTTCCTACATTCCTTGGCTCATACACCAACATCTGCTTCCATCATTCCTAATCCTTCTCTGACTCTGACTCTCCTTCTCTTTCCTCTAAAGACCCTCATGATTTATTGGGCCAACCCAGATAATCCAGGATAGTCTACTCATCTCAGTTATTCACATTTGCAACATAAATCTTAATTTACTCACATTTGCAAAATCTATATTGAGAGGTTTCAGAGATTAGGATGTAGAATCTTTGGGAAGCCATTCTTTAGCCTACTGCAACATCATATAGAAGTCATTTCACATTATTGATTCTTTCATGTAGAAAGAAGAGGAGGGTGGGAATCCAATTTTCTTGGTCCTTTTCTGCCTCTTTCCTTAACTGCTTCCCCATACCCTCACATACCTGTGGCTCTATGTGCTTTTGCTTGTATACATACACATACAAATATGTATGTATATATACATACATATATATATATATATATATCCATCTGTACACCCACACACTATGCACACTCACATAAAGTTCCCAATTCCATACTAGAGAAGTGACAGTCTATGTTAAAGATGACCTTTTCCTGATCTATACATGAGCATAGATATATTTGGAGGCAGAAAAAACATTGATAACATTTTAATACATCAAAAACCACTATCCCCCTCACAGACACAGCTCCCACATGATAGAAGATCCAGAAGAAGGAAAAAAAAGAGTGGGAAGAGAACAAGGCACAAGTAAAATCCAACTCTGCCATCCCTATTTACCTGAGGCTTCCCAGAATAGCTTCAATTAGCCATTACTTTGCAGGATTCAAGTTTCGAAGCCCTAATTTTTTTATATATATATTTTTATTTATTTCTAGGAGAAAGAGAGAGACAGCGTGAGCGGGGGAGGGTCAGAGAGAGGGAGATACAGACTCTGAAACAGGCTCCAGGCTCTGAGCTGGCTGTCAGCACAGAGCCCGACGCAGGGCTCGTACCCATGAACCACGAGATCATGACCTAAGCGAAAGTCGGACGCTTAATCGACTAAGCCACCCAGGCACCCCTCGAAGCCCTGATTTAATTTATTTTGTGTATCGCCTGCTACCTTCTCTCGCCCGCATTAAATCCATCCCCCTCACAATCCACTCTTTCTTTTGAGAAAATCTAGAAAAGCAAGAACCACCTTCTTTCTTCAGTCTCTTACCTTGCTAACCAGGAAAATACTGTCTCCAGGGGCCATGTGGTGGCTATGGTTCTCTCAGCCTTGAGAAATAGTTTCACCGAGCAGGAAAATAAAGCTACTATATACACAGTTGCTCTTCGGCTGAACATAGGTATTGTGGTTCAGGATCCCTCTCCCTAGCCCAGTTAAACTCTCTTTCTACTCTGCCCAAGTCAGAACAAATTGATGCTCCAATAGACAGATGGAGGTCAACACCTAAACTTGGCTTCCAAAAATCTGATTAGAAAATACAGTTTATTTTATAAATAAACAGGTATGCTATCTCTTTAGTCCTGGATTAAACCTTAAAGCCAGTCTATAGTAGGCTGCTCTGACTGTGTGCCAAACTAACATCAAATATGTGCAAAACAGAATGGAGCAGGGGGGAGGCTGAGTTCTGTCTCACAAAGCCACCAACCAGGTGAATTTTTATTCTCTTCCCTTGGTATTTGTGAGAAGCTGGAATTAGTTTCAGCTTCGTGGAAATTTAAATGCATACAGCCCTCATTTTGGAAACAAGATTATATAAGTTGGGAGGAAAAAGGGTTCCCTTCTAAGAGGGAAATTTTATTTCCAAAGGGAATGGCATACTGACTAAATGCTCTCAACCAGTCATATAAGCAAAAATGTCTTTCAAAACCAAGTATAATGAAACAATTTTAAATTGCTGTCTTGACAAGTAGGAAAACATAGTAAAAAAATAAATAAAAGCAAGAGAAAAGTTAATCAGCATGCTTTAGGTGAGCCAGGAGAACTAAAAAAAAGAACTTCAGATGGAGGAATAGATCCTAGATGAGCTATAAATTCCTTAATGGCAGATACTGAGGCTTATTCCATTTGTGTATCTAACTCTCAGCAGAGCACCTGACCCATTGTTAAGCAATTTATACCTGTTAATGATGTCAAAAGAAAATTCAGAGAGCTTTAGTTGATAGGAGAACTCTACTGAAGAAGAAACAAAGTGTTCACAGAGGACTTCAAACCCAAACCTGGTATGAGGTTCAGGGGCCTGATGTTACAGGATGGCTTATGAAGTGACAATAAGGATTTCGTCTCACCTTTACAATGATTGATTTTTTTTACAAGGCGGGCTTCCAGATGGCGGAGGACTGGTTAAAAAGGATGATCTTCTACCATGTTGGGAAAGTGACTTAAGTTTTGTTTATGATCATTAGAAGCATTTACAAGAAATCACCTACATTTCACTTATGTTCTTGAAATAAACTAGATTTAGTTTCGTTCACATAGCTTATATCGTGTCTGCTTGGGGGATTTTCAGGTCTGGTCTTCATTTTAATTTATTTTTAACAGTTAGTTGACTGGGCTGGGAAATTACTTTCTTCTTTTGAGGCCGCAGTATCCTCTTTTGTATGTAGTGTATATATTTCCAAAAAACGGCATGATACTAAAAAATTTTCTATCCTAAGTGAGTATTCCCCTTTTCCTCTCTAACCAGACTCTGCTACAAATTATGTTGCCTTCTTCCAGACAGTTGTTTTTTTTTTCCTTTTTTGTTTTTTAAATGGCTTTAACCTCCTTAACAAGCTCCCAGTGAGCCCTTTAATATACTACTTTAATGCCCAAATTCGCTGTGAGTTCCAGGAGAGAAAATGCTTTTGAAGGAAACCCTGGGCTGGGTTTCAGGTATTCTTAATCCTGTCTACACGAGACCTAGACGCATAGTTAGATAATTTCAAAAGCATACGCCTTTAGGTTTCAAGCTGTTAATGTTTGCAAACCAGAAAACCACCCTTAATACCACTGCTGGTTTATTGACACAAACTCTTTGCTTCCCACAGCTTGTAATTGAATCCCCCCACTGCTTAATTGGAAATAGAATGGCTCCACAACCAGATTTGAAACATCTTCTGAAGCTGGTAGGAACATCAGCTTTCCCTTTTAAAAATAAAAATTATATCATTAACTGTGTTAAGTGAAGATTGGTGTTCTGTTGAATATCAGGAAATGAGTGCACCCCAGGACTGTCTGAATACAGGGCAATTAGGGATGTCTTTGGTTTTACAGTGTGTGTAAACACGGCCTCCCTCCCCACTGAAGCGTAAAGGCTAAAGCTGAATTAGTTTGTACCCTGGAAAATCCTAATGTTTGCACAATTCTGATCCCTTTTAAAAATGCTTTCTCTTAAACTTACTCATCTCCTTTAACCAGGAACTGCGTTCAAACAATGAACTATTGACTCCTTATTACAAGCCAGGCATGAGAGAGAATAAAAAGAAAAAACCAAGAAGGTAAATTATATGTTGTTTGCATAATACATACACACATATACATATATTTCAACTCTATCAAACTATATATAGCAAATTAATCTTTGACTATTTTAATAATTTGGGGGGATTTTTGTACATTTCAAATTATTTTTATATTTTCATTGTGGCAAAATAGACATAAGATTTATCATTTTGACAATTTTTAGGTATTGATTCAGTGGCATTAAGTACACTCACAATGTTAGTCAACCATCACCACTGTCTACATGATGAGGACCTTTTTTTGTTCCTATTTTTTTTAACTGAGGTATAATTGACATACAACATACTTGTTTCAGATGTACAGCAAAATGATTAGATATTTGTGTATATTGTGAAATGAACTTACAGGACTATTTATTGCAATATTGGTTGTAGTAAAAAATAAATTAAAAACAAATAGTAATTACAAAGGGGATGGGTAAAATAAGTTACCTATGGTAAGGTGTTATACAAACAACAGGGTAAAAATTTCAAAGTACATTTAATGCCATGGGAGCATGTAAGTAAATAGAGGAATATAGTACAACTTAGACATCTTATTTTGAATATATGTTAATATATTAGAGAAAGATGATAGACAATAACAATCAGTGTTCACAGGGCTTATCTATATAAGAATTGGGATTTTATATCAATTTCCCTCTAAAACTTTAAGTTATTATTTGATGTTTCTGCAGAAACACTTAAAAATTTTTTAATGTTTATTATTTTTGAGAGAGAGAGAAAGACAGAGCAGGAGAGGGGAAGAGAAAGGGGGAGACACAGAATCTGAAGCAGGCTTCAGGCTCTGAGCTGTCAGCACAGAGCCCATGCAGGGCTTGAACCCACAAACCGAGAGATTTGGGCCAAAACCTGAGCCGAAGTCCAACACCTAACCGACTGAGCCACCCAGGCGCCCAGAAACACTTTTTATGATAGAATTAGTTAATATCTCTTATCTTATTTTTTTCTTTTTCTTTTTTCTATTTTGAGAGAGAGAGGGCATGAGTAGGGGGAGGGGCAAAGAGAAAGTGCAAGCAAGGGAGGGGGGCAGAGAGAGAGAATCTTAAGCAGTCTCCGTGCTCAGCATGGAGCCTGATGTGGGCTAGATCTCACAACTGTGAAATCATGTCCTGAGCCAAAATCAAGAGTCAGATGCTTAACTGACTGAGCCACTCAGGTGCCCCATTAATATTACACTTTAGAATGTTGTTGCTCACAAAAGGCAGGCTCCAGGTAGCCATCAACCAGAATTGCCTACATTCCTCCACACTGCCCTTGCGTCCTCCATTAAGTGGTTGTGTGCTGTAACGGGTTATGATCCTGGGATCCAGAGTCCGTACATTTGATTTCATATTCTGCCCCAAGCATTTACTTATTCCATAAACTTAAGGAAACTGTTTAATATTTGTAAACTACTCTATTGGGGAGAAAATATTATTGTTCCCATTATACATATAAGCAAAATAGTTATGGCATTGACTATTTTAAAAGTTAGCAGACTGCCTGGCTTTTTAATGATGAGAGCCAGCATGTATTGAGCATTTACTATTTCCTGGTGCCTAACCTCCTCATTCCATGTCCTTCTTTACTTCAAAGTCCCCTCCCTCACCTGGCCTCCTTACTTGGACACTTGGGTTGGGTGTCCTCTCCTGTCCAGTCAGTATGTCAATGTCATGTCTCAGATGTTGCATGCTAAGACCCTGCATAATAAGTATGGAGGTGGGGTGGGGTGGAAGCAGTCAGTTAATCTTCACTAGCTCCTCACTGCAGCATAAGAGGCCTTGTAATTCCCGGGGCGCCTGGGTGGCTCAGTCGGTTAAGCATTCAACTTAGGCTCAAATCATGGTCTCACGGTCTGTCAGTTCAAGCCCCACATCAGGCTCTGTGCTGACAGCTCAGAGCATGGAGCCCGCTTCAGATTCTGTGTCTCTCTCTCCTCCTCTCCCATTCATGCTCTGTCTCTCAAAAATAAATTAAAAAAAAAAGAGGTCTTATAATTCTGGTCACCATGTGGTCCTCCCACACCATTGCTCCCCACTTCCCTTTGCATGTGGATATCAGCTGCTGTGCTCTTCTTTTTCTGGGGCACACCTGAAAAACCACACCCACTTCACTGCCCTTTCCATGGCCATGCATTCTCCCTGATACCTGTATGACTCATTTCTTCTGTCTTCATGGGTGTCAGACCAACGTTACTTTCTTGGAGATGCCCTCCCTAAATGCAATCTTTAAAATAGAGGGGGTTGGCTTCATTACGCTGTTTTACTTACATTACAGCTCTAATTGCTAACTTAAATGATGGTATATATTGGAGGAGGCAGGCGCTATGCTGATTCAGTCAATGTTTGTTAATCAATTAAGCAGGGTTGCCACCCCACACTGGTAAAAGAAGTTTATCATTAAATCCAAAAGAGGTGATGTACTGCACCCCAAGGGGATTGTTCAAACTCTATTAAGCCACACAGTGACAGGAGAACTTTACTGAAAGATTTTTCCTCTATCTAAGCATTTAATAAATAGTCCAGTCAGAGCCTAGAAGAAATGACTGCCGTTTATAGCACAGCCTACTTTATATCCCAAGATTCTGCCCTACAAATGAAGAGGATGTCTGCTGCTGGTACTTGACAATGAGCTGCTGTGCTCCATAAAGCGGCATGTGTGGAAGATGCTTGGGGTTCTGAGGATGGACAAATGGTTGCCTGACAGGAGACATGCATGTACACTTGCCACCATGATAAACTCTTGTGGTGGCACATGTTGCCATACAAGCATCAGACTAGGTCAAATTGCCCTCTGAAAGAGATCTAGTATGTCTTCCCTGAGCAAGAGACTATGAAGTTGAGATCTGCAGGGTGACAAAGGGTTAACTAGGCATATAGACAGAGAGGACTGAGACTCCAGTCTCCCAGAGAAGGAACAGCATGTGCACATTTCCTGGGCAGAAGGAAGAGGGACACATAAGCATTGTACCGCCCTTTGATCTCAGAAGGCAGGACTCTGGCTTGGACCCTATGAGGATGACCAACTTGCTCATTTAGCAGATTCTAGCCTTGAATATCCTACGACTGAGGAACCCCTCCATTGTGGGCTAGCAAGACATTAGGTCGCCTTACACGAGCTTTAGAGGGCTCCCACTCTGGTCCTTCAAAGCTGGGACTCATTCAACAGAATAAGGTGTCTCTAGGGCCATGTGGACAGCCCTACCTGCAAGTCTCTGCTTCTAGATCTTGCCCAGGTACATAGTCCCCCCAGAATTCCTTTCCCTAACTGCCCCAAGATTGCTTTGAGATTCCTTTACACCCCTTCCCTAAGTCTTCCCTTCTGAGAATGGGATACATCTCCAGAGTATGCACTGCTCACCCAGAGGGACAGCAAAGCACAGCTATTTTTGGAGGTTATGATAAGTGCTTGGAAATGCAGGCTGGGTTTTCACACATACTCACGTGAGCTTCTTGTGGTATAGAATGAAGCCTGAGTTGGGATGGGCAAGGGAGCAGAACATGGTCTGTGGCCTTGGGATTGGCTTTCCCCACAACACCATGTCCCAGTGCAGCTTTCTATGCAGTCTGAAATTTCTAAATTCTTACATAGTCTTCCAAGTCATTGTAAAAGTCTATCTTTCACAAGATACAGTGCCCATATGCATTTAATTGTCTGGGAGCCTGCTTTATACCTTTTATGTATTTAGACATGTGTTAAATGGCCCTCCATATATATTATTGCACAGACCTCCACAGATGTTATTTTTAGTGTAAGGAACTAAAAGATGGGAGAAAATGGTTCAAGGTGAACAAAAGAACCAAAAGAATCATCAAAGCGATAACAAGACACAATCATTATCCAATTCATGGCAATACTCTACTGTGCCTCCCAGATCTGACCTCATAAAGGGAGAAATTACTATCACAGTTACTTGGAGTAGCCCTGTCTGGGGACTGCTTAAGGCTAATGACAGCTGCCTCACCCAAAGGACACACCCTGATGCCAATCCAGGACAACTCAAAAGGGCTTTTTGAGGTCTGGGGCACTCCATGGGATTGGCAGACACCTTCTCATGACTGCTTTCCGGGCAACCTTCCTCCTCTGCCCAATCTAGTTTTCTTGCCTTTACCCTCTGGTGCAGAGCCTGAGATACTTCCTTCATATTAATCTCTGTCTCGAGTTGGCTTTCCTGTAAAGCCACCAGCCACAATGCTTACAATTACCATTTTCCCAATAGGCTCTTTCTGAGCATTTTCTGTAAATTGTTTCCTTTAATTCTCATAATTTTTTGATGAAGTCAGAGCTCCTATTAACCCTACTTTTGAAATGGTGAAACTGAAATGTCCTCAGTGCATATGGCTGAGTGCCTGGAGATCATACCGTGAGGAGGGGAGCTGAAGCTTCCACTCTTGGCCAGCTTTTGGACTTTTGTCTAGCTATGGTAAGTAAGCACACTTTAGATTTTGAGATTGTAATTTTATTCACGATTAATTTATTTATCTTTTTTATCAGCTTGGTAATCTGGATCCATTCAAGACTGTGGTATGAAAAGGCCCCATAGCTGTCATTTCTGTAACACATTTACAACACGAAAGGACAGAATGTTGATGATATGCAGAAGAAAATGGAAATGAAGCAACAGCATGTTTTAAACACTAATGTATTGGGCCAGACCCTGTTCTGAGTTCTATAATGCAAGAGTCCTTGATACCCACAAGCTGCGGGTTGAAAGAAGGTTGGCAGTAAGCAGGCGGCTTAATAAAACAGAGATGCCTCACAATAGCCTGTTTTCAGGCTGACATCATTCCTAAATGAAATACCTTTTTGTTTTTAACTTCCTAATGATCTATTTAGCTAGTAACTGTTACAGTTTCTTTTTTTCCTCTTTTTTGGGTGGTGGAGGAGAGGAGGAGTTGGGGAATGTTCAGGTGATAATTTATGGAAGTCTCCAATGAGATGCAGAATTTGGGATGTGTTTCCATGAATTAGTAGAGGTGAGAGGGCTTTTTGTTTTTAGCAGCTCCTGTGCAAATCATGACTTCTAATGCTTGCCTCTGGGCCCTAGCTTAACATATTCCCTCTCTCTGGAAACATCTTTAATCTCACCCTGATGATTCCAACTCTTCCTAAAAAGTGGTGGTGTTAAGCTAATTCTTGAAGGCACGTTCCTCAGCATCCTGCTGGATTAAGCATCATTGCTTTGAATACCCTGTACTCCTCTCATTACACAAGTCACTGGAATAAAAGTGCTGCTAAATGTCTCAGAGCCTCACCTCCTCATCTATAAAATGGGAATGCACATTCCTATTGGAAAGGGTACTTGTAATTACTTTCTGTAAATTCCTGCCTAGAGTAGATCTTGTGAAATTTTAACTCTTTTCCTTCTGCTTATTCCAAACACTTATTTACAGACATGACAAGGATTGCCTAGAAAGAAGGGTTTATCCTTCACAGTCAAATCTCTTCCAGTTTCACCTGGGGAATGGCTAATAACCGATTCCATGCTGCCAAATGCCTGAGTCATATCCCTACATCCCCATTTCTCTACAGACATAAGAGCAGCCTGAGGAATACTACTTGTTTAATAATAGCTTTTTTTCTGACAGGGAGTTAATAAAGGCATAACAAATTCTCTTTTCAATGAGGAAGTCTGAGTTCTGACTGCCTTAAGGAACTGGCATCTCGGTGGGGGCTGGAGTGGGAGATGGGGAGAGAAGAGAGGGGAAGGGAGAGAAGAGGGGGTGAGGGAGAGATGAGAGTAATTAAAAAATGAAGAATACAGGGATAGAGCTTCATCCAACCAGGTCCTTCTCATCCAAGAAAGAAGACTGGTGAGGCTGCTCCAACTGCCTCCTCCTTCCTGGCTTCTAAGAATTCCTCACGGGTTCAAGATGTACTACTGAGTATTCATTAGAGTCTAACACTTTGTCTTAAACCTACTGGCCTTGCAGAGAGGGCTCACTCTGCAATTGATGCAGTTGCAAGTGTGCTAGAAAACAATAGCTTTAGACACTGGGGAAAATGATATGCCATTCAACAAAAGCCCCCTGTCATCTGCTTTATGATTGGAAATGAGGTGGGGAGCAGTTTCCCAAATACTGTATATTACTGAGCAGATGTATAAGAATCAAAGGGAAAGTGGTTGCCAGGGAGACAAGACACTCATGCCAACTCTGTTGCAGACTAATCATAAAATGTCTCCAGGGGGCATTTTATAGCCACAAGCACAGACAGGAACACAGCCAAGCCAAGGATCCAGATGTTGCCCTTGGAACTGGGCACCCATTTCAGGGGCTGGCATCTGCCTTCTGCCAAACAAAATGTGTGTGGCCACATCTGCTCACTGCAGAAAGTTAACACACAGTAAAAACAGAGGAAAGGTTGCCATAAAATAATGATTTGGCACGATGCATGGGAAAGACATTAAATATTAGATAACTCTTCTGTTAACCCTAAGCACATTTGCATTGCTCTTTCCTAACTCAGCTCACCCATATCCTCTCTCGGCAATTTCCATTCTGTTCACCTGAGAACAATCTTGTTTGCAAATAATACCTGAATAATTTACCATCTACCTAAGTGCATATGACAGCAAAGGAGAAAGAAAGTTGGAATGGACTTGTTTCTCCAATTAATCCCATAAAACACAGCTTTTACTTTACAGCTCTTAAAGAAGACATGATATACATTTGTATCTGAGACTCTGCTATTAAATTACTATCTCCGATAAAAAGAGTAGATGACAACAAGGTATTTTCAAAGTGTTTATGTTCACTTTCATCGAGTCTCACTTAGAATGATGGGATTTTTGAGCCGTAAGCTACGGTATTTTAACATCTCAAGAACTTTTTTATGACCAGAGAAAAGTTCAATGAGGCATAATTTCAGCGACTGCCGTATCTGATTCTGTATATATGTCTAGCATTTTCACAGTTTACAAGTCTTTTTTCATTTATTTTGTCTGTTATTCCTAACCTATCTTTAGCAGTTGGTTAGAACAGATATCATTAATCTTTTTCTTTCTTTTTTTTTTTAACTGAGGACACTGAGGACAGAGAAATTTGACAATTTATTGCATTAGTAAGAGATTTTGGGTGGGGTGGCTCAGTCGGTTAAGCTTCCAACTCTTGGTTTCAGCTCAGGTCATGATCTTACAGCCTCATGGGTTCAAGCCCCAAGTCAGGGTCTACACTGACAGCATAGAGTCTGCTTGCGATTCTCTTCCTCCCCCTCTCTCTCTGCTCCTCCACCTCTCTCTCTCTCTCAAAATAAATAAACTTAAAAAAACTATCCTTAGGTTTTGAGAAAAAACGATCAGAACTTCTTACACACATGAATGGCAAAAGTTTAGTTGGCTGGATTGAATTAGAACCTTCTTACCTGTATTAGTTTCCAGTTGCTGTGTGACAAATTACCATCAGGTTAGCAGCTTAAAAAAACACCTTTTATTATTTCACAGTTCCTGTGGGTCACAAGTCTGGGCACAGCACGGCCGAACTGGGTTCCCCATGTGGAGCCTCATAAGGCAGAAGGCAGCCAGGCAGCTTTCTGTTCCAGAGACTCTGAGCATGAACCCCCTTCCAGCCTCATTCAGGTTGTAGTGGAATCCAGCTTGTTGAAGGTTTCAGCCAAACTGGAGGTCTCCATTTCCTTTCTGGCTGTCAAATGGGGACCACACTCACCTCTTCCAGGTTGACAGAGTCCTCGTGTGCCCCCTACACATTCAAAGTAGCAGCATGTCACACCCCTCCTATGCTTCAAATGTCTTTGACTCCTCTTTTCCCTCTAGAGTCTGCCATTTAAAAGTCGCATGAGATTAGATCAGGCTCAACTGGATAACCTCCATATAGTAAGGTCAACTGACTTGTGGCTTTAATTACAACAGGAAACTCCTTTCCCCTTGGCTGGGGAGGGGCATCATTAAAATTCTGCCAACACACTATTCAAAATGTGGTCTTCAGACCCACAGTATCAACATCACTGGGAGCTTGTTAGGAAGGCAGAATCTTGGGCCCCACACCAGAAATAGTGAAGCAAGAATTTATCAAGATCACCAGGAGATTCATATGTATATTAATAAGAAGCACTTTCTTAGACTGTAGTTAGAGGGTTTTTTTTTTCATTTTTTTTTTTTCTTTTTGTAGCAGACACTAAGTTGGCAGAAACAAGAAGTAGACCGTTCAGTTCTTTATTCCATCTTGTGAGTGTTTCTTCTCTCTAGTCCTGACATGGAGAAAGGGGGTCAGTTGAGGCCAAAAGCAACTTTATGGATCATGGCCTGAGAGTGTAAACAGAGCTGTGTCTTGCTGAGTTATAGAAGGAAAGAGATTGTTCAGAGCATTTGCAATGGAGCTTTTGATGGTTTATTACTTCTTAGCCTTTAGCATTCTTAGTGGCACTTCTTTGCTGCTGAGTGCGGACGATCTTGAGAATATTATGGAATCTTTTAGTGTTTGTTTATGGTGCATGGCTGAAATGTTTGAAACTTTAAGTGCAAACAGATCCCTCTCTAGAGCAGGGAAAATAGTTCGAAGACAAAAATCAATTTGGTTTTAGATGGAGGGAATTACGCACCATCTGATTGTTACAATATATTGCATTATTTAGAATGTATCTCATAGGGGCCAGCTTTCCATGAGTGCATATTGATTTCATGTCCACTTAGCTATAGACAAGCATGAGACCATAAGGAAATCCAAGTGCTGTTGGTCAAGGGTTTTAAACCATATGCTCAGCTGCCCAGTGGTAATCAACCTTACCGGGAGTGTATTGAAACAACTAACTGTACCCCTACTTGGTGCCAGCATGCCCGTGATGCAGCAACTCCTGAATCCTGAGCATAATGCAGGATAATGTAAAATGGATATAATGAAAGAATGGTGAGATCAAAGTTCTACTGGAACTTTTATAGCTAATGAAAAAGTGAACAGCTGCTGAGAAAAAGAAAGAGAGAGAGAGTTCAGATCAAGAAGTATTTGAATTTAGGATATACGTATGTTTTTAGGGTAGTGGGGCAGAGGGAGGCACTGAATGCAGGAAGAAGCCCCAAGACCTTTTTAACAATTTAGAGCCAGAAATACCTACAATACATTTTGAAGAAGGGATATGACTCACATAATATATGCTATGAATGCTTCTTTATTGTATTATATTAAAACTGCACCATTATCCTTGGTATATGGTAGATATATCAGGAGTTTTTTGGGCTTTATATGAAGCATAATGGGAACTTCTTCTTCGATATCTGATTTTCTCCCTAATGGTAATGTGTCCAAAACTGAAATAGGAATGTCTCTCTAATATTAATGGTACTAATATTAGTGGGCTAATATTGTCGCATTTAACAAGCACGTATTAAATGATAGACACGTCTCTGCCAGACAACTTGCAAGGTGCAATGAATACAAAAGTGAATATGTCTTTTTTCAAGAAGCTAGCTGTCTACAGATATAGACAGGCATGCAAAAAACTATAAGATAATTTGATATGAGTACTAAGAGGCATATAAAAATTGTTATGTGACCACAAAGAGGTAATGGCCAAATATAGGATGATAGGTAGAGGGAGTAAGTCTTCAGAAAGAGGAAGACATTTTGATGTGTCATTTTTTAAAGTTTATTTATTTTTGAGAGAGTGAGGAAGAGAGAATGTACACAAGCAGGGGAGTGGCAGAGAGAGAGACACACACACAGAATCTGAAGCAGGTTCCAGGCTCTGAGCTGTCAGCACAGAGCCTGATGCAGGGCTCGAACCCATGAACGAAGAGATCATGACCCAGCCAAAGTAGGATGCTTAACTGACTGAGTCACCCAGGCTCCCCCCACCCCGTTTTTAAGTTTATTTATTTATTTTTGAGAGAGAGAGAGAGAGAGAGAGAGAGAGAGACAGCAATGTGTTTTAAAGGATAACAAAAACTCATTCAACAGGGCACAAGAGGGACTCTGCAAAGTAAAATGAGTGGGTTATTAAAAAGACATTTAAAAATAAGTGTTTTGGATGCACCTGGGTAGCTCAGTTCATTAAGTGTCTGACTGTTGATTTAGGCTCTGATCACTGTCTCATGGTTCACGAGTTTGAGCCCCACATCAGGCTCTGTGCTGACAGTGTGGAGCCTGTTTAGGATTCTCTCTCCCCGCCCCTCTCTCTCCCGGCTCCTCCCCCACTTGTGTGCACACACGTGCATGCTCTCTCTCAAAATAAATAAATAAACTTTAAAAAATGAGTGTATTGGTGTGGAGGAGTTGTAACAACTCCACAGATCAGTGACCAGATGGAAACACATGCTTATAAGGAAAGACATCAGGAAAAAATAAAATAAGATATTGTATTATAATGTCTGAAAGATGACTTTATAAATTCTAATGTTGTGTAAATACTCTACTCATTGTCTCAGGATTGTGCTCCCACCCTGTTGGGACATAGCAGGCAGCACTGCGTTTATGCAAAAGAAGGTAAAATGACTTGCTCAGGATTTTTGAGGAAGGAAGTGTTAGAAACTCTAAGACTACCATTTCTACTATAATCAATGACCTCTCACAAAATTAAGGTCTCTGTTCCATGTTTTTGTGGCTATTGTTTTTTGGTTAATTCTCAACCTTCATACCCAGATGCAAGAATTAATAAATGTAGAGCACAGAGCACAGTATGTGCTCTCAGAAGCCAATTGATCAATGTAAGGTCCCTTTTCTTCTTCCAAGGAGCTATATTACCACCACTTTTCAAATAAATGCTCTGCTTGTTAAGCCATGATACCATCAACACCTGTGCTCTATGCCTTGCCCACTGACCAACTCCCTTTAACTGGATCTCCAAATCAATCATCCTTAATAAATGTCTTCACCAGTCTTTTGTTCTAAAATCTATGTGGGTTTATTAATAATAATAACTGATGTTTATGAGAACATAATGTGTACCAACCTCTGGACTGACCATTTTGCATATATTATCTCGATTAATATTAAAAATGATACTTACGAAGTGTTATCATCCCTCCCTTTATGAAAGGAGTAAAGGCCAGGAGTAATGAGGTTAAATTTATTTACACAATGTAAAGAGGCAGGGTCCTGATTCATACCAGTCTGTTTGCAGTACACATGCTCTTAACCCCTAAGCTTATGCTGCCTCCTGCAGCAGGCCGACGGCCAAAAAGGTACAAATAAATATTTATTGGATATGCAGAGTACATACAACAAAGTGAGGAGCTATCAACTTTGTCTTTCTAATTTGGGATCTGGACCAGGAAAGGCAGAAGTACATCTACTGAAAATGAAGCTTTTTTTGCATTTTGGAAAAATTGTAGATCAGTTGCTGAATAAAACAATTTTCTTTTTTTTTTTCTATTCTTTTCTTCCTTTCTCCCTTCCATCTGCCCATCCATCCTTCCTTCCTTCTAATTTAAAATTAGAAGCTCAGAATCAATTACTAGGCTTTCCTTGGCTAGAGTCATTTTAGAGAACAGGCATCATCATCGCCATCAGCAGCAGCAAATATGATCATTAGGCTTTAAATTGCCCTTACATTCATGGTCATTTCCTAGTGCAGTCGGATTTAAGCTTGGTTATTACATTACAAAATGGAATGTGTGAAGTTTGCTCAAGTTCAGCTTCCGAGTTTACATCAGAGTGCTGTGATTATACAGCATTTGGACTGAAGCTAAAATCGACATTTTCTTAGCATATATAAGGATTAAATTATTTTCCAAAATAAACAAAGACTAAGAAGATCCCAATCAGCTTAAAGGTCTGAGAATAGACCTTTGGCGTCATATACAAAACTTACTAGAACATGCAGCAGCTCCAATGTCTAACACACAGCCACAGCAAATGATGCCCAGTGATAGAATTTGGTGCTCAAGTCTATCAGCTTGAAATGTTGGAAATGTTCACAGCCAGTATATACTCAGTAATATGAACCTGAGAGTTGGTGAAGGAAAATAGAAGGAAGTGACTTCTTGCTGTATCAATCATCTGATCCTGTTTCACTATGTCTTACCTCTCTCAATTTTGATCTTTTATGTAAACATAAAATTCCATCAGTTATAACTTCTCTTCCTTAACAACAGAATGTGGTGTAGTGGTTCTCACATGCCTATTCAAACACAGATTCCTGGGTCCCCCCAAAGATTCTACAGTCCTGGAGAGAGGGTCCAAGCAGGGATGTCCCATGAATGATACCCCCTAAATATATGCAATGAATTTCTAGCCAGGAGTCTAGGCCTAACGGTGAGTCTGTTACAGCGGATCCATAAAAACATTTTGAGAAACATATATATAGGGAAAGAACAATGGCTTTGCAGTTTAAATAACTTGGGTTTGAATCCCAGAATCTGCCTATCAAGGACTCCAGTACTTTGGACAATGTCTCTTAATCCCTGGCAGCCTCAACTTCTTCATACTAGAGGTAAGAATATTTATCTACAGGATTGTTTTAGGGATGAAAGTGAATGCATGTTCATCAGCTTGTTTTGTGCTTACATATGGTAAATACTCAGTATAATAATTTATTTAAAATGTTAGGTTAAAAAAGTAAAACTGAGAATGGTGACAAAAATAGCTGAATTCTTCAGTGCATAGTAACACATTCTCTTGTCTAGGAAAAAAGAATGCATCTGGGTGCCTGGGTGGCTCAGTCAGTTAAGCATCTGACTTTATCTCAGTTCATGATCTCATGGTCCCTGAGTTCAAGCCCTGTGTTGAGCTCTGTGCTGACAGCCCAGAGCCTGGAGCCTGCTTCAAATACTGTGTCTCCCTCTCTCTATGCCCCTCCCAGCTCATGCTCTGTCTCTCTCTGTCTCTCAAAAATAAAAAAAATAAATAAATAAAGTAAAAATAAAAATAGTTCATTTTCTCCTCTTAAAAGTAAAAAATAAATAAATAAATAAACATTAAAAAAAAGAATGCATCCCATCTCTACTGACAATCTTCCCAATCCAAACACACATATGTGCACAGAAGCACACTCATAAACTGTTTCAATTTCAGACAGACCATGGATTCCTCACTCTGTTAGAAATAAAGACCTCTCTAACAAGTTCAAATTCCATGAACATCTACATAATATTGGTTAAAACTTAGTGTTCATTGACTGAGAAATTTTAACATGCTTGTGGATTACTGGATCCCTATTATAACTCAATATCCACCTCTACATGATCTACTTGCACTCATCGTATCCCTGATAAAGAGATCTATGACTCATAGGCTGTGAATCTGTAACCTAAGCTACACTTTTAGAAAACATTAAATACCGGTTTTGAAAAAAGAGGTTCAAACCTATTCCTCTATTTTATGATTTTTAAAATGATGGGGCGCCTGGGTGGCTTAGTCGGTTAAGCGTCCGACTTTCGCTTGGGTCATGATCTCGCGGTTCGTGGGTTCGAGCCCCGCGTCGGGCTCTGTGCTGACTGCCAGCTCAGAGCCTGGAGCCTGTTTCGGATTCTGTGACTCCCTCTCTCTGTGACCCTCCCCTGCTCACGCTGTCTCTCTCTCTCTCCTAGAAATAAATAAAACATTTAAAAAAAAATAAAATGAGTTAATTACCATGACTAATTCATGTAATTGATTTCAATTTAATACAACAAATATTAAGAGCTGCCTATTAGCCAACATCAATGCTAGTGGCCTATATGTACCAAAGGGAATAAAAAACATGGTCCCCATTCTCTTTGAAATCTGACTAGAAAGGGATACTACATTAAGCATATTTTAATATACTGTAAAAAAAATTAAACGAAACCTCGTTTAAAATGGAATTGAGGGACGCCTGGGTGGCTCAGCCTGTTAAGTGACCAACTTCGACTCAGGTCATGATCTCTCAGTCAGTTAGTACAAGTCCCACAGTCAGTGAGTTCAAGTCCTGCATCGGGCTTTGTGCTGACAGCTCAGAGCCTGGAGCCTGCTTTGGCTTCTGTGTCTCCCCTCTCTCTGCTCCTCACCCGCTCACGCTCTGTCTCTCTCTGTCTCTCAAAATTGAATAAACGTTCATTTTTTTTTTTAATGGAGCTGAGAAGCCCTAAAGGGGGAGCTCTCAGGCACCACCACCCTCAGCAAGAAACACACCTCACATCCACCCACAGAAGGAAGCTTACTTTACATACCCCAACAGGAGGGAGGAAGGATTTCTAGAAGCTGAGTTGGCAAGAGATTAGCCAATAGAATTCAGCCCTGTTCAGCTTTCTCCTTTCTTCTATAGAACCAAGCCCCTCTCTTCTGTTCTCTGGACTTGCCTTTGGTTCACTATGGCTTGTTCACCCTGAATTGCAATTCCTCTGCAATTCCCAAAAAAAATCACTTTGCTGGTAAAGTAACTGGCTCTTTTGTTTTAGTGTCAACATTACATAATTAAATATATTCTCCACTATTATGGCAAATCAATGTAGGATTTCGGGGTGTATAAAACAAGAAGCACATGCATACTTAGGAATGTTGAAAGCAGAACCTTTTATAAAGTGACAAGATGAAGAAGAGTTAGGGATCCCCTGAGTTTTGTTTTTCAGGAAAGTAGATTTCAGTGGTTACTGAAATCCTATCCTGTCATGAGTCAATGCAAAGAATATGCCATGCAAATATTTCCTTTTTTTGTTTGTAATCTCAGATTTATAATCCTAACTTTATAAGCAGGGTAGAGGACAAGAAAAAAATGTTTATTTCTCATACTTTTTCCCAAAAATATCAAACACAAATGAAATGGAGATGTTTTTTTAAAGTGATTTCTCTGCTTAATAAGAAAATTATATCTAGGGTGTTATATAGGCATATACCTAGAGTGATGATGGCCTAAAACTTCATCACCAAGTTCAATTTAATAATATAAATGTTTGATAACATGTTATTTGATAACATGAATGACATACCCTAATGGAGAAGGGGGAAATCAGAGAACTCTTAAAAAGAAAATAGTCTAATATCACGTGAATTCTTCCCATTCAACTTAAGACCTTTGCAGGCTTCATGTTACTGTATATCAATGACCAATTTCTGACATTTGACACTGCAGAGTATAATTTATCCTGTTCTGTTTTGCTGTTTGTCAATTGAAGGTCTCATTTTTGAGCCTGAGTATACATATGTAAGTCTTAATTCATCTCAAGTATCTACAGAGCTCCAAGCTCCTACGGAGGAATACAAGTTCTACCACAATGCACACCAACTCCCAACTGCCTATTCCTCCTCTTGCATCTTACTTTACCGTCCATGCACAGGTAAGCATGCACATATCAACACATTGCTACTATATTATCATTTCCAGCTTTCCAAATATGCCATGACTTTCCACATTTCTGAGGCTTTAGACATGGGCTTTTTTTGTGCCTAGAATGACATTTCCCATCCTTTATTGGCTGAAAGAATTCAGATTCAGATTCAAAATTTAGCTCAGGCCTTCACTTCTTTAGGAACTGTCCCTTAACATTCTTCTCTGTGACAAAGCTGTACTCAAGTATATATCTCTGTTGCTCCATTAAACTATATCTTGTCTACTGAGGTCTGGTGTCATGGATAAGTGACCAGTCCCTTCACTTTCTCCAAAAGAGTTTCTGCTTGGGGGATAAATCTTTCTATAGTTGCTACCTTGAAATATTTATTCATTTCTTTGAATTTGTGCATGTAAGATAGGTTAATGGAACATGTACCTGGGGCTTGGAGCCTAGGTTCATCTGTGGTTCACCTCCCATAGCCTTCCAGATTCTCAGCTATCCATTCTCTTACCTCTGGGATCCCAGCCCACCCTCCCTTTCCCACCCCTGCCTCCCCACTGCTGCCTCCATCCACTTCCTACAGGTGCCAGAAAGGCTGGGTGCACATACCATAGCCTCTTGGGGAGGGGTATGGTGGTAGCCCTCCCACACTGACCTGCCAGGACCCCAGATTATCTGGTAGGTGTCTGGCCATAAGGAGGCTGCTTCTTTGTGGCAGTATGACTCAGTAATCTCTATCTAGGTACCTAGCACTGCCAGGCACCAGGTTTAAAGATACTTGGGAAGTTTGCCCATCTTCCATGGTGAGGTGATTGGCTCATGAGAAAGGGGAGATGCCTGCTTAGCTCAAATTCCCACACCATCTCTAGCTAGGACACTGGGAATAGGTCTGATACGCTAATAAGAGGGGCCACATACCTGTGAGAGTCCTCACTTGTTCTCTATCCCCCTGCTCTGCAGCACTAAAGCATCACATCTGGTTCTCTCCTCCTTTCATCCTTCCAAACTTTCTGAGGCTGGCTTGTGTTCCTCTCTTCTGGGAAGCACAAGGCACCCCTGAAGAAGGAACCATGTATTAAGACTAGGTAATTTCAAGCAATTCTGCATCAACGTTATATGCTCTGATATTTGAATTTAAAACTGTCACTGCACAATATAAAGATGAATGGTAAAAAGCATGCTAATAACTTAAGATATTAGTTTTTCAATATTTAGGCAAGCATTTGCTGGCAAATTAAAAAACAAACAGAACACCATGACAAGTCAAGAGGAAGAAAACACAGATAACAGGAAAAATCTTTGTGCATACCTTTATTCACACTTTTTATGCTTTTTGAACACAGGACTCCACATTTCCATTTTTTCAAGAGTTCCTTAAAGTCAGGGCACATATTTTGCCGTCTTGGTATTCTGCATCTAGCATAATAATACAGCATTTATCAGGGGCTCAAAGGGAATATTTGAGATAACTCACATGAACCGAATTTGATTTATGTTACATACATGTATCTGTATATAAATATATATAACAAATATATGCATGTATAGATATCTATAAAACACCTCAATATGTACATATTTATGTTTACATATTTTATAGTATAAATTAATATAAATATATGCTGTGAATATATAATAATAGATGCAGAAGATAGGTATAAAATATTTAGAAAACTGATTTTCAAATATTTTGGTCTTATAAGGGTCATTCTGTATTAAGACAGTACTACTGCAGTCTCTCTGAATTTAAAAGGTCATTAATCCAGATGCTAATTTAATCAATATTATATTTTAAAAACTATAAAAAGTAAATTAATATCAGGTAAGCAGATTCATTGCACTATAAGCTTTCAGAATGTGCCTACTGTCAGCACATTTCTATGAGAAATGACTCCCATTTATACCAAACAGAACTCACTTATGAAAACTCACTTTCTTCATTGTTTATACTTTGATTCATTGTGAGAGCTAAGATAAATATGAATACTCTTACCATTTTTGGCTTGTCTACTTTCCAAGTGCTTATCATTTTTTTAACACCTGTGGCTAAATGTAGACAAAAGAGGATTTGGTATAAGCAGATGTCTTTTAATATGAATTTTTCCAGAACATTAGGCTCTAAGTAGTTATTTTTTCTGCAAGCAACACTTTCATTTATTTAAAAAGTAGGAAGTAGGTTTAATGGTGCGTGTGTATAGACACACAAACTAACACAAGTAGACACACATGCACATGGTAACTATACACACAGACATATAGACAAATTCACACATACAGACACACGTACTCAGAGGCACACATATGTATACACAGGCACATATACACAGGCACACAAATATATATGGATGAAAAGATACACACATAAAGACATGCACACATCACACACACATTGCATGTGTGACACAACACATACACATATACAGATACACAAAGACCTGTTTTTACAGACACAAGCTCACACATGCAGATACATGTACACACAAATAAACATCTCTGTGCACATGCACCACTCATGTTCCTAGTCTCATGCCTAAATCAAGACACAGGAACATATATACATGTTCGTAGATACATAAAGAAACAAACTCATGCATGCAGACACACAGAGGCTCATACATACATACATACATACATACCCACACATTTGAAAATCTTCTGCCATTCGCCTTTGGAGTTGAACAGAATTTTTTGTACTGAAAGGAGAAAAGCTGGTGGGATACTTCATCAAAAGAGGATATGACAAAAAAGTAGGAAATAAAGAAAAAGAAATAAATCATTACCCATATTGATACTACCCCTTCCTCTCTGATAAGTCAGTATCCTTAATTAAGCATTCAATAGATTTTTCCTGAGCACCCATGTGACAGGTCCCATCTAAATACCATAGTTCACATGAAGCATATATCATATTGACACAGATGAATATATGAGTCTTTGTTTTATCTTCTTAATACATTGTAAATTTATTGCAGAATTGTGGGAATACCATGATATGTCTGTAGGGTTAAAAAATTTGCCACCCCAAAATGTGTCTCTTTGGCATGTGGATTATTTTAGGCTGTTTCTTTTTGAGAAACAGAGGCTCAGAAAGAATCTTTGACCTTTCTCCTAACTGTCTAAAAGAATATACATAGAGGATCTGCTTCAGGAAGAGAGCTATCACCACAGGTAACTACATTATAATATGAAATGAGGGTGGTAGACAAGGAGGCATTTAGCAAAACCTGTTTGATAAAATTCCTCTCCATGTCCCATTTTTTTCTGTTTGACCCAGAAAACATTTGTTTACCAAATATTTACTCTCTTTCATCTTCCTGTGAGTTGTCTTCTTTCCTTTAAAGTCCCAGACCTCTACTCACTTCTTTTTAGCTCAGGACAGCTTATAAGCTTCAACTGCCTAACTGCCTATGAGTTTCATATTCCTATGGAGCCCCTGCATGTATATAATTGTTTTTCTCCTGTTCATCTCTTCCATGTCAATTTAAATTTTTTTAAATTAAAAATTTATTTAATTTTGAGAGACAGAGGGGGACAGAACATAAGTGGGGGAGGGGCAGAGAGAGACACACAGAATATGAAGCAGGCTCCAGGGTCTGATCTGTCAGCACAGAGCCTGATGTGAGGCTTGAACCCACAAACTATGAGATCATGACCTGAGCCAAAGTCAGATGCTTAACCAACTGAGCTACCCAGTCTCCCCTCTTCCATGTCAATTTAATTTTTAGACCAACCAAAAGAATCTTGAAGGGTATAGTAAAATTTTTTCCTCCCAACAGGTTCTTAAAGTTCAAAAGATGCAATAATCTTAAAGAAGACAATATATGACCCATAGCCTTTCTTTCTCCACTTCAGTTTGTGTGTGTGTGTGTGTGTGTGTGTTTGCAAATCAAAGTATAAACACATTATCTTTAGAAACTGCAAAATACCTCCCTTGCTGTCTGTCTTCTCTCTGTATTCCCTTCTGTGGGAATAAATCTATGGCCTTGTTTTGTGTGGGTGTCTGTATTTGTGTGTATTTGTATTCTTTTTGTTTTATTGTGTTTTGTTTTTCAGATGCAATATTGAAAAGGAGAAATTTAATATATTGGTAGATATACAGAGATGTCAAAGTCACAATGGAGCATTAAACAAGAGAATGTAGATCAGTACAGGACTCTAATGAAAAAAAAAACAGATTAAAAAGCACAGCAAGAGTGTCTGGGTAGCTCAGTTAAGCAGCCAACTCTTAATTTTAGCTCAGGTCATGATCTCACACTTTGTGATTTCAAGCCCTACATTGGGCTCTGCACTGATAATGTGGAGCCTGCTTGGGATTATCTCTGTCTCCCTCTCTCTACCCTTCTCCCACTCTTTCTCACTCTCACTCTCAAAATAAACTTTAAAAAATTATAAAAAGCACAGAAGAGTTCAATGCCTTCTTTCAGGTCTTCCTTCTACCTCTGGTTTATAGAGTATGGGATCTGAGTTCAAGAAGATAGAATGGCAACTAAGTTTTAAAGAAGGCTATCATTACAGACTTATGGATTATGGTTTCTGCTTCTCAACAATGTAAACTCCATTCAATTCTCTAACCACCAAACTGCACACACACATAATTCCTCACTTGAACATGGGGACAGTAGTTTACTTCTTAGTGGAGTTGCTATAAGACTATGTAGATCTGAAAGTACATATCGGAACAAATAGGATCTATATTCTAAAACACTTAGCAACACTACCATGTGTTTGAAACTCTAAATAAAGTTAAATAAAGTTCAATAAAATAAATAGTATTTTCCCTACAAATTTCAGTGTTTACAAATCTTCTAGAATATTCTTTGATTATCTATCTTTTATTTTAGGGTAAACAATCTAGGAGTAAATGTACTTCTTTTCCATCTCTTCCCTTACAGGAAGCTTCACCACTGTATTTACACATCGTACACACATACACATGCACACACAAACACACCTCATTCTACTTTTCAGCATCAATAGAATTCTCACTCAACAGAAGGGGAGCAGATTTGGCCACCACAAAATATGCATTTTTGGCATAATGATTATTTTAGGTTGGTTATTTCTAAGAAACAGCAGGCACAGGAAAAACTCTGAAAACACAGTAAAAGTTACCTTTGGTGAGAGACATTTACATTTATAAAGGAAATCTCCATTTGTAAGAGGCTCTCTGTTGGTATCAGGAAGAGGAAGATGACTAAATCTCTAGAAATTGTTATTAGTAGAGAAGGCAGTGACTTAAATCTGCACAAAAATCATACCTTTGGTTACTGTGTTTTGTCTAAAAACCTCCCAGAACTGGTTTCCAGGTCCAGTCCAGCATCACCTTCTTCTGTCTTTAGGTAGAGAGGATATTTAAGTTGATGGCTTGAACCACTGGGGGACATTACTCAGTATTCTTGGGTCTCTTCCATGTACACAGGATATATACTTGTTACTAAACTTCAGTTTGTTGTTTTTATGTTAATCTACCTTTTACTACAGGGAAGTCTCAGCCAAGAATCTGGAAGGGTAAAGGGAAAATTATTTTTCCTCCCCTATACAACCGATATTAAGTGCTGACAAGGTGCCAGACACTTACCTTCCGAGGCTGTTCCAATAATTAAATAAGAAAAGATATACACATTTTCATGCAGATCTAAAAGGTGGAAAACAGAAGTGCAGAGAAATTACGGTGTGGTATGTCCCTTCTACCTATTCAGGCTAATCTCTTTTCATCATAATTCATCCCCAATCCTGTTTCTTGTCTCAACTCCCCACCACACATACTCACATACCACATCAACTTGCCCTTCTGACCTACTTATGTAGTTTCCTGAGAGATCATGAGAAATTCTAAGTGGCTCTTTGCTTTCTTAAGTCCTGCAGACTGAAAATCCCCACTAATTAAGTCTTCATATCTCAGATGAAAGGCCTGAAAAGCTTCCACTTCTGTGAAGGTCTCTCTGAGTGATATAGGCAAGTTTTAGTTCTCTCTCTCCCGATGATATTCTTCCTTGTCAGATTTCTCCTTAAAGAAGTTGTTTATAACCATTATTGTCCTCCTTTGTAGACCAAACCTCTTAAAATCAAGGGCACATCATGCTACGTACTTAATATATGTGATAAATGAATCAAGAGAATACCCAGGTTCACCACAGTATAAGTCAAGCTTGCATCTTTTTACAGTGTTTTGTTGTTGTTGTTTTAATAACCATATCACAGTGACTTTAATATAGCATTCTTCTATTGACTTCTTCCTTTTCAACTGTTGTTTTCTCTTCACCAAATGGGACCTGCTGTTAGGAGAAGAAAGAGCCCTTGGTCTCATAATAATTCTTCACATGTTGGAGGAGCTTGT